CTGCTGCCTGGACCAGGACCATCAGGTCCTTTTTCTTTGACCGTTTGGACCAGAGAAGTGATGAAGGACGAGATGGGGCCTGAGGTTTATGCCTCATTTTAACCTTTGACCTCTGTGAAAGGCCTTAGCTGTTGCCTTAAACCTTTAACATTTCAGTGTAACAGAGCACATAATTTCACATTAATTTCCCACATCAGAATCACTGCATTTAATTTTTTTTAAATCATTTTTTATAGATCAGGGTTGTTATCCTTCATTTTTGAAGGAGAATGACATGATGAATGATGATAAATAGATCACGATGTGAAATGTTCAGATTATTTTAATGAAGTCAACGCCTGAAGCTGCTTTTAAACAAACAGTAAATGTTTACTAATAAGTAGTAAAAAAATTACTAACATGTTAGGTTTTATTTGTTTCATTTTAACTTTTTTTTTTTTAATTCCATTCCATTTCAGTCACAGACAAGTTGTTAGGCCAGAATCTCAAGTTCTGAGTCAGTGTCCAATCAGGACCAGAAAAAAAAAAGAGAACTTCATGTTTTAACCTGTTTGATCTAAAACTGAAAAAAATGAAGGAGATTTTATTTTATCAAAGACCAAAATGTATTTTAATAGTTTTAATAAATAATTATTATAATACATTGAACTCTTAATGAAACACTAATTATTGTAATAAAATAAATATTCATTTTGAAACATGTGGTGATTGTGTTTAATCTCTTATCATGGGCTGACATTGTATTTTTGATCATACATATGTAATTTGTGAAAAAAATGTAAAGAATTTTTACTTTTTGCATTATCATCACTGTAAATGAACACAACAAAAAAGGTGTTGTCGTTAATTAACACATCCATGAAACAGGACCTGAGCCGGGATTTAAACTAGCATCCATATCTTAGTAACTATATAAATAAATATATAGCTATAATGACCTGATTGCGTCTTTTGTTGTCTGTTTACTTTTCTTTTCTCACCTGTGTCATGGGCGTGGACTCGCTGTCACCAACGTGATATCTATATCCACGATATCCAGCTTTGAACAGAAGGTAATTTGGGTACATGTCCACCAGAGGGCACCCTTTGCTCCTGTCAAACGTGGAGATTTCTTAAGGTTTTTTTGTACCTTATTCTTGGACACAAACTTACACACATTACACACCGTTTTGATTTCCCTCCCACCTGCACAGAGTCCGTATATGTAAACACCAGGCAGCTGAGACTCAGTCCACCGGGATCGTCTCTCACGTCTGTGCTGGTCCTGATCATGGCTCAAGTTCTCCAACATCTGAGTCTGCTTTATCTCCTCTCTCTGTCCACAGGTAGGACAAACACACACACATATATATATGTATAAATGTATATATATATATATATATATATATCATATATATATAAGCTTAGATTTGTTTTGTTAGTATCAAATATTGCTGAATGATCAAAATGCTGCATTATTAATCAAAAATTCATAGGGTGTAGTGAGATTTAAAAAAAAAATTCAAAAGTGAGCACAGAAATACTTGAAGTTTTGGCAAAAAAAAAGGATTAGCAGAGCAAAAAAAATATTTTGAAGCCATTTTTTTCTTGCTTTTAAAGGTAATGTAAAATAGTTAAAGCATTTATCCTAAAATATCCATTAATTACAAATGCAAATTAAGGAGCTAAAACTAGCACAAACAGGAAAACACCTGCTCATTACTGGTCATCAGCATCTATTTACAGTCATTTATTGAATTGTTTTTTATGAGGGTTGTTTGTTGGAGACAGAGTTGTAGTTTATTATAATAAATTATAAACAATTGAAATAAAAAAAAATAAAATCAAGGCTCGAGTGAACTGAGTGGAGCTGATGGATTCACACAGACACTTCATGGTGTCACGGGTCTTGTGAGACTGGAGGAGCAAATCCATCCTCCACCTGCTCATTGTTCTCCACTGGTGAGAACCACTGTCCCCTTTTCAAAGAAGGGCATTGTGGGAAACTGTGAGGTTAATCTGTGCTTGTATATTAGCTAAATGGTTCCTGTTCCCACCGTGTCAGTCAGACAATGCAGTACAGTCACAGCGCTGTGATAAATGGCTCCATCAGCACCTGCCGGATGGTGGGGGTGCTGGGTGCAGCAGCAGTGGTGTAAAAAAAAAAAAAAAGTAAAAAGTCTGCCTCAAAAACCTGATTTGGTTTAATTTTACCATGTATTTGACAAACAACAAACAATAGGTTTAATTTTACCATGTATTTGACAAAGAACAAACAATAAATAAATATATAAAGTAACTAGGGATATAAAAAACATTCTCAAGTATAACTGGGGATAAAATAATGTATGTCATGTAATTTAAAATCCCACAGACTGTATTTTCTTCCCCTTTCGTTTGATCAGACTTGAGACTTAATATCAACCAATGTAACCAGTAGGTGGCAATAATGCAACATACAAGAGTTAAATCTGCCAGTAAAGCGCAAAAAGGTAAGACTAGCACGGCGCTAAATCACTGCTAAAACGCTAAGTACTAGCATCTCGTTCACAAATTACATGCTGCGTATCTTTTAGCCCTTATTTCTTGGTAAAAAATGTTTAACTCAAGTTAAACACAGTTTAAGTAAGTAACTACTGGGCTTAAAAAACGGGCTATTTTATGACGCATTTAAAAATCAATAAATCCGCGAATAAATAAATACAATAAATAAAATGTTTGTACTCACCAAATCAACTGTCCTCCAAAACACTTATTTCAACATCTTATTGCTGCCTTAGTCAAGCAATTTAAGTTCGCAAATCCACGTTTTGCCCTCCTTCAACCATTGTGGCACAAAAAAGCGAGTAGATATTAGATTTTTCTCTCTGTTAATCGGGATGTTGAATTTACTTCTTGTTGTTTTATGGCGGTAAGCGAGTATCCAATCACAGGGCGCATACATGTCACGTTCAACGTGAGGCCAGCTAGAAGGCCTTCTGTCAACAACTCGTGATCTGATTGTCTATCGCAATTGTCTATCAACTGTATGAGCCCGTTCGCTTCGGTTCGCTTCCATAGCATAGACGCCCGTTGATTCTGAAGGCCTCGGGCAGATTTCATACAGCCTTACAACAGCTAGCTGAATTCTGATTGGATAAAAACTCTAACCTAAAACAACAACACTGGAAGGAGTCTAATATGACAAGAAGAGAATATGAAGTATGCTTTTATGTATTTAGGAAAAGTAAATTAAAAATGTAATCAACTTTTATCAACTTTATGTTAGGCCAGCCTTGCTGGCCCTGACCCCTGGCTACATAAATAAAATGTACTCTGATTAGACCCAGTCTTCTTTAGTGACCTGTTGACTGCTGAGAATCTTGTATTTATATTTGGTTATAATTTGATGTTATACAGAGCCCAAAGGAGCGACTAGGACAGGATTGGTAATGTGAGAATTAATAATTAGCACAGATCATGTGTGGGACACAGAGACAGAGGGAGTTGAACCTGAGGTGACTTCTCAAAGTTCAGCTGTTCCACACAAACACGTTCATTAGAAGACCGGCCTAGAGTGCTGACTCAGGAAAACTAAAATTAATTTAATTTAAGAAACGGTTTGTTTTGACATGAACAACACACTGTGTTGTGTGTTGTGTGTGTGTATCTGTGTGTTTGCAGCCCAGTGGTGTTACCAGAGCCAGTACTCCTGTGATGACACATGCAGAGGTACGATGACATCACAGACTCAAATATCACTGGACATGCAGTGATTAATTATATTAATTAAATTATTATTAATATGAATATTTGGATTACTCTCCATTATTACTTCCATCCATGTTTCATGAAATCCCTTTTTCAGATCTTTAAATTTAATCGGTAAAGTTAATTTGTTTCACGAAAAAAGAAGGAGGAAAAAAAACATCTGTAAAGTTAATTTGTTTCACGAAAAAAGGAGGAAAAAAAACATCATCTGATGCTGCTGCTTTTTTTTTTTTTTTTTTTTTTTTTTTAGATCCCCTGCACTGGGCAGCCCAGTTTCCCAGTTGTGGGGGGCTCCGTCAGTCTCCCATCAACATAGTGACCAGTAAAGTGCACATGAACACCGCCCTGCCGCCCTTCGACTTCATCGGTCACACAGATGTCAACAACATCACAGTGGAAAACAGAGGACACTCTGGTAAAAAAAAAAAACAACAAAAAAACAACAACAGTTCAGCTTCTGTAGTCGTGTAAGAGTTTACCTTCAGGAAACTAATCGAGTCGTCCGGACCTCGATCTGTTTTCTCTGTAGCTCACTTTCATCTGCCACAGTCGGTCCGACTGACTGGAGGAGCGTTGCCGGGCCACTACAGGGCGGCCCAGTTCCACTTCCACTGGGGAGGGAGTGGGCGACCAGGCTCGGAGCACACCATCGATGGAGACAGATTTCCCATGGAGGTAAGTTTACACTTACACACATTACTATGCTCTAAAGCAGGGTTACCCGACCCCTGTGCAGCATTTTGAATTAAACAGGACTTAAACTGACTTACACACAGCTCCACATCGTGCACATCAAAGAGCCGTACGGCTCTCTGGCTGAGGCCGAACATGACTTGGCAGGAATCGCTCTGCTGGCCTTCCTGTTTGAGGTACGCTGCGAAGTGACATGAACATATTTTGCATGATTTTTTTAAGGCTGCTTTCCTAATCCTGAAGGTGTCTTCACAGGAAACCACAGATGACCATCCTCATCTGGACACAGTCATTAGTGCTTTGGGTCGCGTGTCAACCAACGGTACGAGCACACAGTGGTCACCTGCACACGGCCCCTAAGGTCGTAATTCAGACTTTTGAGTTTTCACTCTCGTTTCTGTGTGAAGGCAGCAGCACGGTGATCCAAAACTTTCGCCTCAGTGACATCATCCCTCCTTCCAAGGAACTGCACAACTACTACCGCTACGTGGGCTCCATGACGACTCCGGGTTGTGAGCAGGCCGTTGCCTGGACGGTGTTTCACAGGACGCTGTCCATAAGCAGTCGACAGGTGAGCAGTGTCTCTTACTTTATCTTCGAAAAATATTTGATTTGTTCATTAATTAGTGGTAACTTCTGAGACCAGTTAATTGAAAAGCAACTTTGCAACTTGATGTGAAGTTAACATTTTTTATTAACAATCTATGATTGTACTCATTATACTAATTGCACTGTTGGGAGACTCACTGCTGACCTCGTGTGTCACCTGTCCAGCTGGACGCAGTGGTCAAACAGTGCAAGTTCTGGACTGGACAGCCCATGACGGACATCTTCAGACCGACGCAGCCTCTGGACGGCAGAGTTGTGTACCGCTCCAACACGGCTGCAGCTCTGAGCTCCGCCCGTCACGTGTGGCTGAGTGTTTTCCCACTGGTGCTCATGTATGTATGATTACAACTTTTTTATTTTGTGCTAATGAAGAAACTGTCAACTTTTGTTTTCATGACAGAAATGACTGCATCCTAAAACCTACTCATGCTAAGGTTAATTTAATTAATATGATTGTTGTGTTGTTAACAAAGTAAAATAAGTTTTTGATCATATTGTTGTTTAAACCTCCTGACATAGACTTTTAACAAAACTTCCTTCTAGTACCTCCATTAGGTTCAAATGTGTTGTAGAAGTTGATTTTTTTTTAAATAGAAAACATAACTAAAAGCTGTTAAAACTGCTGTGTTGGTTCTACTTGTCTTGTCTGTAAAAAGAGTTAAATATCATAAATACCTGAAACCGTCTCTGTCTCTCACTGTCTGCCCTGCAGCAACAGAACACAATAAGGTCTAAAACACCAGGTGGCAGTACAGTAGACGTAGTTAGGTAGTGAAAGCCTAGTTTATCCTAAATGCTAAGTACACGTTTGGAGCCTTTTGTCTGTCTTCTGCATTTGTTATGTGCAGTACCACTGGAAATCGTGGGGGCACACATTGTCACAAGAAGACAAGAATTCTCCGTCCTCATGCTGCTCAGTATTTAATGTCCACACAGGCCACCATTGTGGTTAACTCTGAACTATACGCTGCCCCCTAGTGGATGCATTGTTTAACAATTAATGATCTGTTACCTTATAAGGACAATGTCCCTTAGACATTTATCTTCCTTCCTTCCAAAGACAGCTCTGAGTGGGTGGTCCATCCAAACACCTGAGGTTTATTTAGTTTTATTTACAGGCTTTATTGAAACCTCGACTCTGTTTCTTCAGCCAGTGTCTCAGGTGCTCCACCTGAGCAGTGACGCTACTCTTGGCTGTGCCTCCGGGGGCGCTGTACTGCTCGACACTGCTCCTGTAGTCCCACACAGAGGACACGTCTTGACCAAACAGAGGGCTGCGTGACAAGAGCAGAAGCAGAGTGAAGGAGACGACCAGTGCAGCCACAGAAAAACGGACAAAGTTAGCTTCTTAATATCGATATTTACGATTTGACCTCTAACAGGTTTGTAGCCAGCAGGTGTGATTGTGTTGATGAATAACTGGAGACGGTTACCTGAGAGCACTGAGGTCATCTACAGTCAGTTGATTCAGAGGCACATTTTTGGTTTCGGCCATAAACACGGCCTTTCCTGAGACGCCGTGAGCTTCTCTGAACGGCACCTGAAACAGAGCGACAACAACAAGTCTGGAATATTCAGAGGAAAGGTCAGAACCACCAAAACCCTGGAGATGTTCACCAGCAGCAGCAGCTCTACTTTGTCTGACTGCTGTCAAAACACAGCTGTGTTCAGTGCTTTATGGTCTAATTTCTTTCAAATGAAACTGTAACGTTAAAAACACTGACCCTGAACTGACATAATTTTAACTGATTAAAAAAAAACGCCCTGATTATCCCACAGACTTCCATGCAACCCAAGTGCGTTACAGACGCCCCCTGGTGGATTCCCTGAGCACCATTTTTGAAACTCCCATTCAGTCTATGATCAATTCTCTGACAATTTGTTTTGTAAATAAAAAAAATATAAAACAAAAAAAATCACATCACAGATTTCTGCAGCACTCACCCCCTTCCTGACGAGATAGTAGGCCAGATCTGTGGCCAACATGTCTGGACTGAGGGCCGCTTCCATCACACTCTGATTAACCTGGAAAACACATCACTGTCAGAGGAAATATATAACTGACATGACTCTAAATCCTCGGGGGTAACAGTAGGATGGAGTATCTGTAGGACTATGAGGTATGTTTTTGTAGTACACCCTACAGTAGGGAGCAGTGATTTGCTGACCTGCAGAGTTGACACGACTCCTGACGTCACCTGCAGCACGGCATTGACGGTGTCGTAGCAGTCAAACATGGCTTCTTTGTCTTCCTGAAGGGGGCAGCAAACACACGGATATCAATACAAGAGCAGAGCAGACCTTAAAACTTAGACTGCAGCGAATGAAAATAATATGAAGTTGAATGGAGTTTTATTTTAAAATCAACTGTAGTCTGACCTGCAGGTCCTTGTTGTAGCTGCTGGGAAGTCCCTTCATCGTCATCATGAACCCTGCACACTGGAAACACACACACACGTTAAACAACTGACACAAAATTAGGGAGAGAAAGGAGAGTTTTAAAGTTACATCACATTACAGTTACATTAGTAATTTTAACTATTCTATATTTAAAAAAAACTGATGGGAACTTCACTAACGTCAACAGTGAAACTCTTTTCCAAAGAAACCAAACATGGGTGAAAAATGTAGAGAAAAGTAAATTCAAAATATGGCCCTGGATATTCAGTATCCTGTGTTTAATACCAGATGAACATTATTTGTTTTTTTAAATATCTGCTGGTGTTGAGAGCCAAAATAGAATGGTCATAAACCACATGGATGTTTAAGACAAACCTGTTTCCCAACTCTTCCTGCAGCTGCGGTAACTAACATACTGTAAAACTCTCACGGCACAGCTCTTTAATGAACGCAGAACAGAGAACACAGCGCCCTCTCTGGTCTTACACTGCCAAAGACACGACCTGCTTTGCTCCTGATCAGCTCCAGACTGTCAGCGTTCTTCTTCTGGGGCATCAGACTGCTGCCTGTGCTACACACACACACACACACATATAAACTGATTTGTATTTGTGTTTTTTTTTTAATTTTGTCCTTTATGCTTAAAAAGAGATTCTGAACTGACTGGTATGTGTTTTTTACAGTGCACGTTGTCAGCTGTGGTGAAGTCAACCATCAAGTCTTAAAACAAACACACAGACCTGCTGTTGTCGGGCAAAAAAACCCCGACAGCAGGAGTTGGTTTAAAGATGATACCAACAGTCAGTGTGAACCTTATATTGAACACTACATATTAACATCCAGGTGTAACTGTGTGTCACTTCCACACTGAGAAGACAGTCGTACCTGTAGGCGTCAGACAGTGTGATGAAGGAGAACTCCTTGGTGCTGTAGAGCAGCAGGTCCTCGGCCATTTTACTGAGGTGGGTCAAACACAGGGAGGACCAGAACAAGAACTCGGCTGAAGAGAAAAAGAAATATGCATATAAGAAAACATACAAGAAAAACATCTTTTTTAAAAACTGAAAACCCAAATTTATGTTGTTAAAAAAATACGTACCAACAAAGTCTCTTTGTGCCGTAGCATCCATGCTGTTCAGACTGATTCCATCAAAGTCCAACTCTACACAGACATAAAGAGCAGAGTCGTTCCTGTTGCTGTGGCCTCTACAGTGTGACTTTATTTTGCAGGTGTTCTGTACCTGACCGCAGCAGCTCTCTGTCGATGTCCAGTGGTGTTCCAGCAATAGCACCACTGCAACAACAGCAAATATTTATATGGGTCGAAATAAAATCACACAGTGTGAGGTGATGAGTGAGTGTGTGATCATGACTGACCTGCCCAGTGGTAAAACATTGACTCTTTTCCTGACCTCCTGAAGTCGCTCCACATCTCTGCTCAGAGCAACAGCGTGACTGGGAAACGTCCAACCAGAAAACACAGGAGCAGACAGGAAGAAAAAACAAGAAATGAAAATGCACTTCAGCAAAAATACTAATATACTTTCAGCCTTTCCCCTCAAGGGGTCGCCACAGTGGATCAACCTCCTTCACTCCACCTCTCTCTTTGACTTCAATACCAGAATATGTGATGATAAATGAGGCTGACCTTAAAATCCAGTGGCTCCATCTGATTGGCTGAGCTCTTTGCATGTGGGTGTAACCAGGAAACAGGACGTCGACTTCTCTGAGGATTAAAAAAAACTTACAAGACAACTTATAAAATACATTCCTAAATCTCGGGGGTGTCATTTTAAGACATAAAAATTAGAAGCTGGTGGTATGATACGTATGATGATACATGGATGCTGATACACTGTGTGGTGAGATGCTATGCTATGATGCATCAATCTTACACTGCTGCCCGCTCCACCATGGTGGAGATGAGCTGTAGGGCATTTTCTGACAGTTTGTCGATGGCATCTCTGAGCCACAGCCTCATGTCGGTCACGACCTGGTCGACAAACATTCACCCAGGACAACAGAAACATTTGGTTGAATTACAGTTACAGTAACAATGTTAAATGTTCTGTACAACCAGTCTGAAACACTAGCGTCAACATCAGGTTGGAGTTTTGGAATCTCAGGAAAATGAATCATGAAATGATAGAAAATAACCGTGGGTTTCCATGGTAACCATCCATTTCTGATGTTGTGTCTGTCAGAGGTTAGAACAAACCTGGTCATTCCTTCTCCTGCCAGTGTGCAGCTTTCCTGCTGGTGCACCAATCAGCTCCTGAGGAAACAGGAAGTTAGATAAAAGTCTGTCACAAAAGTCTCTGGAAAAAAAACAACTTCTTATTTCCTTTTATTCTAATGCACCTCGTGGGTGTAAACGACTGAAGAAATAAAATAAAACTTCACCTTTAACCTGCGTTCGTTGGCGGTATGGATGTCTTCATCTCCAGCTTTTATGACAAAGACACCTTTCGACCACTCTTCATGAATCTAAAAATATGTTTAAAAATAATTACTCTGAATTTACGTAGTCATTACATATTAACCTAAGAGAACAACAAAGTTAGGAACAAGAGAAATCTTATTTGTTCACAAAGATTTCCGTCACTGGCTGCTGCATGAATAGACACAGTCTAATCAAGAATGTTCCATTTGCTCTTATCTGGTTTTGGGTTTTATTTAAAAAAAAGAATTCAAACTTTGCATTTGCTAACACGTGAGATGGTCTAGTTCAAATATGGGTGTGTGAATTTACAAGAAACACACCTAATGGAATGGCGTGTGTGTGTGTGTATAGTTTAAGAAATTCAAATACACCAGATACATTACAATATAATTATAGTGATTATTTAAATATCCGGTTGATCTTCTTTGGTCTTTTTTCAGGCTGTGGAGACACTTCTGTTTGTAGGCGTGGATGACTTTTTTTTTTTAATTAATTTATTTCAATAAATAATTTACTGTCTGTTTTGTCCTCCTAACTGTCACCTGTAAACATTACTCCACTTTCCTTTCTTTAACTCAGCAGCACAGCATACTTGGAATGACTAACTAAACACACACACACACACAGGTTTTCAGTGCAGTGATCGTACCTGATCCATGGCCTGTGAGATCTGCTTCATCTCATCTGTGGTGACCAGCTTGGCCTTCTCCAGAGCCTTGACGTAAGCCTTACTCCCTCTGATGTCCGCATCCCACATCCTCTGGTCGTAGGTGATTGAAGCATTAAACTTCTCCATGATTGGATCGGTGTCTCCTACAAAACGACCTCCCCAAAGTTTACTTCCCTGGTGAAGAGAGAAAGTTTTTAGTACAGTACATAGAGGCATGTTATAGATGATAAATAAACGCAAGTAGAATTCAATTATGCATTTACCTAAAAAAAACATTGACTTTTATACTATTAAAAACTCATTTTAAGTCTAACCCCATGATGGAATTCAGTTGGAACAACGACATTTGTGAATGTAACATTTGGCTGAATTAATAATACATAACAGGTCGAGGCAATGATAACATTTAATCATATTGACTTTCATTGGTTTATCTGTTGAAGTGAATACGTCTCAGATTTTAGGAAGAAAACAACAGGTCAGTGGATATACAGTTCTTCATACGGCAGGCGAATCGGTTTTTTTTTTTTTAAAGTCGACGACGCTCCAGTCAGCCCTGGTTTTTACTTTGTCCAAATACACAGCTATATTTTGCATAAAGTTACGTAAAAAAACCATTAACAAATGTTAAACTTACCTCTGTGCTGCTCATACTGGTCTGGTGCTGAGCTGTGAAAAATGCTATCACTGCTGCTGCTGCTTCTGCTATATACGTCGGACCCACTGACGTAACAGCGTCGACAGCGTGTACACAAAAATACAAAACACATCTCCGTACGAAAAATAAATGACGTAACGCATACTTCTTGTGTTCCTGAAATTTTAATAATGTATTTGCTACTCAAGTGTAGGGTAAAGTGTAGGGTAAGTTAATTACATTTTTCTTTTTATTCTAAACGTGGCCCTAAAACTCACAATTCTACTATTTACGTGTTAATGTTGATTTAAAAATATATATAAGTAACAGCGTACTTGATAATTCACAGATAAAAATGCGAGAGGAAATACAACAAAAGAAAAATAGAAGCTTGATTCTAACGGGAACCTTTCTTTAGGACTACATTTTCCCACGGACGGCCTTAGTCAAACGGACCAATACCGTGCGCTTCACAATAATGGAAGTGTAAGCTTCTTGTTTACTTTGATAACACATTTGTTTCTCTCTCATTTTAGTTTTAGCTCTAGTAATGTGGTGTTGTTTTATTTTTTAAAAATGTCACAAATGAATAGCAATATGTTTAGCTATAAATGATGCGATGTCTTTTCGGTAATACGTAGATTTATACATTACTTGATATTTATGTTTGACGTTTTTATATAAACCAGGAACAACGTTAATGATACTAGTCAAAGATAAGCTCACGGATGAGAGTTATAATATATCGAGATTATATCTGGTGTTAAATTTTGCTTTTATGTGTCTCCGTTTTCAGGAAAAATGCTAACGCTGCTATGCTCAGTAACTATGAGGTCAGTATGTCTGTGTATGTTTTTATTAATCAAGGGAAGAGCATATTTAATATAGTGACCTATATATATGACCTACTCACTTTTATTTCTAGGTGTTCAAACTCCTGACAGATATGAAGGAACAAAGGAAAGAGAGTGGAAAAAGTAAAAACAGCGCAGGGCAGCAGAACCTAAACACCATCATGTATGAGGTAGGCTCAAGTCCTCCCCACTGCTTCAACAGACTTGAACTCACTCTTTATGCCTGTGGTGTTACATTTACAATCCCATGACATACAGTATTTTATATGTTTTAATCACAGACACTCAAGCACCTGTCAAATACACCGTGCAGCAGACAGAATGAAGAAGTGGTCAAAGTGTTTCTCACTACTATGGTGCCTCACAAACTCACCAAGTAAGTTGGAGCAAATTCAGGTGTATGTATATTTTATGTAATAATCTGCCTTTTCTAAAGATTATTTTCCCTTGTTGTGTCCAAAGAGCAGAAAAGCTGCAGTTACTGAACCACCGGCCACAGACAGCAGTGGAAATTCAGCTGGTATTTTCTTTTACTTTTTCTGTCTAATCTAATAATATAATCTAATAATTAATATAATTTGAACTTTATTGATCCCATGTTTGGCGCCTGCTGGGGGCGTTTTCCGAGCTTCTTGTGTACTCACCACTTTGTAATATCTCAGTAATTGCATTTTTCTTGTCCAGATGGTTGAAGAAAGTGAGGAGCGTTTATCGGAGGAACAGATCGAGGAGCTCATCCAGACAGTTGCAGATGTCCTACCTGGTGACCCTGAGCAGGAAAACAAAGCTCCAACAGAAGTAGAGATGGATAAAGGTGGTGAACAGTCATGACCCGGTGTCAACTCATGACTATTGTGGCCGATACACAAACAACTGGATTGGCAGTAATGACGAAAAAAAAAAGGTTGCACAGCGAGTGTCAGGACTCAGATTATCTGATTGTTGAAAAAATAATTAAATTATTTACATAATGGTGAGTAAATTCTCTAATACAAACAAATGTGTTCTCCTTTTTTTAGTGTGCACTATGCACACACTCCCAAATGTATTGATCATGAGTCACATATAAACCTGTCTGATAGCTGACTTGTTTAAGGTCAACCACTTCACTGACAAAATGAAATCTAACACTGCTGGGGTGTGTCGTCTGTTTGTTTTGTTTTTTCACCTTGAATAACACAAACAAAAAAGGAAGAGGCAGGTTTCATTTTCTAAAAGTGTTGCAGACTTCTTGTGAAAGTTGATGTGATAAATGACTAAACTGGGAAGCTGTGTGGTGCAACTTTACTGACTGAAGAGCTGAGTACAAACTGGACATTATCACTGTAAACAAACAAACAGACAGATCAACCGTTGGCTCTGGACTACCTCATATTTGACTATATTTGTATGTGTAGAGCATTGAGCCATTGAACAACACTTTTGAGCTACAGCAGTAAAACTCATTAATACTTGTAGACAGTCATCAATGTCATTAATGTCATGTTAAAATAAACATAGTTACACAGTAAATTCAGTAGAATTTATTTTTTGGGGGGGAATAAAGTGCATAGAGAGGACATAGAGTGAAAAGGCCATTACATGGCCTTACCCAGGATCCCAACCCAACCTTTGGCTCAAACAAGAAAGCAAGAAACCAGTTTGAACAGACAAGGCTTTCGCATCAGTATGGCTTGGTTATCGGAATCAGATAGATAGATATTCTACTCATCCCTGGGGGAAATCTTTGGTGTTACATCTGCTCCTGCACAAGCCTTCAAGGAAAAACACAAAATGTGTGCAAAAGTGTAATCAATACATATTTACATATAATTAATAGTTTAAACAATATACTGAAAAAGATGGAAAGAAATATAAATGTAATTGTAAGTAACACTACTGTAAATGTCAAGATTACTGATATTGCCCATCAAATATTTCACAGTAAAACTATAATATTACAAAAAATATTGACCAAAATAAAGGCTATTTTTTTCTACCTTTCACTGATTTTATCAAACAAAAAAAACACTTTCCAAAATGAACTCCTATATCATAGTAAATGTTATGTTAGTAAATGTGTGTGGTCTGTTAATGAAAAGGCGAGTGTATTAAATTATCTGCGGCCTAACCTCCACTAAAACCCCACACTGTTATTAAATTTCCCTGGTGAGCCTTTAAGTGAGAGAACACGAATCGATGAGGTGAAGTAATTTAAACCTCTGGTGTGAAGAGAGGCGGAGGTAACGCCAGTTCAAGGGGCGGGATAAGCGTCAACGCGACCACCAATAGGATTCTTCCAAACTAACATGACGTGGATTTAGTGCGACCTACCGACCAATCAGAACCCTGGCTTACTCGGCCTATCTGTTGTCTCGATCGCCTGCCTTTTTTTTTTCACTCGCTCGCTCCCTTACTGTAGTAGTCGGTAGAGACAGCTCAAAGTTCAGCTCCGACAGTGGTGCAGTATTTTGATGAGTGTTTTTCAGCTACTAAATGACGCCGATATCTCCTTAGACGTGACATCTGCCCACGGAGCAGCGTTCACGTGACCCACAAACTGCGTCGTTTGTGGTGGAGCTGACGGTCTCTTCATGTGAATGTGGAGTTTTCCCACTGACGCTGGTGAGTGAGAGCATCATTGTATTTAACGGTTGACACGATTCAAAGATCATTTGGGCTTTTGTTACGTTTCATTTTTAAAAACCCAATGGAAACATGACACACAAAAGACAGTCAGACAGACAAACAGTCAGACAGGCTTCGTGTCTGTGTCACGGTGCGTTTGAGTGACAGCGGGTCACTCACCTGGTGACTGTCTGCCTCGGGTGCATTTTTGCGTGGCAGGAAAGATGATACACGGGCGAGTCAGCCAGATGTTCAGGGCTGCTGGGATTTGACTGTGTAATAATCACGTGTGTCCACGGACACGGCGTTAGCTGCCGTGATAGTGGAGCTGTGACCTATTTAACACCACCACAACAACAACAACACCTGGTCTGTGTGTGAATGTAGTTGTAGCATCGTGAGGGGAGTCAGTGTAAAGTAGCTGGAAATAGTTCATTAAATGGAGATTAAAATTCAGTTTTTGGAAGTAGTCAGTTTATCAGAATTGATAATAATCTATCAACTAAATGTACTCATTATTTGCTCGTTGGTCGTTTGTTATAATCGTTTAGGGCCACATTAAGATAATGTTAAAAACGAAAAGATTCTCAGAATTAACCACGTCACAGTGTTTCACAGAAACACTAAAAAAAATTTAAAAAAATAAAACAACAAGACAACAAAACAACTAAAAAAAATTTAAAAAAATAAAACAACCTTAGAAGTTACTTACGTTCACTGAACATATCACTGAAACTGTTCCTGTTTATAAATTGCACTGTTTCCTATTATGATTGGGTCTAATTAGCTGTTAGCTGTGACACAGTGAGGGCTATGACAAGTGGTGATTTATCTAAAGGAGGCCATTTGAGGAAATTGTTGCAACAGCAGATCTGCTTTTGGCAGCAGCAGACGACGTGGAGTAAAGGAAGAAAGTGGAAGTTGCACACTCCCACTCAGTTCCCCCTTCTTCAGCAGAAAACCAGTGTCACTGCTCCCTCCTGTCAGAAACAAGGAGCCTTTCTTGACTGTGAAAGGAATTCAGCGAGAGATGAAGCTTAAAACGTCAGGGGACAGTTGTGGAGCGAACAGCAGGAACGTCCATTAGAAGAACCAGTGGCTCACTGCAGGATTTTGACAGATGTAAATGCAGATAAACAGGATATGTTTGAAAAGAGATTGTCTGTTCCCTCGGCAGGAAGTCACAGCTTTCTTGACTATAAAAGATGACTCAGGTTTGGATTTCCCACTGACCTCAGAGGCATCACTTTGCTGTATTTCTGCCTGAGCTTCAGTCTGTTGATATATTCCAGGAATCAGAGCGACGATATCATCCTCTCATTGTAGTGGAGAACATTTTGTCCTTATATTCACATATATTTTTATATATATCATTTTTGCCAATACTCACCCTTTATAGAAACATTAAGTTCATCAGAAAAGTATCCAAAATTAAATAAAAATAAATAGAACTAAATAGTTCTTAGTTTGTGAAGCCCTGTAAAGTGTGCAACCGCGGCTCATTTCATCCACTGGCCTTAATCTGAAAAAGACTTAATCTGTGCATGCATTAGCATTACGCATAAAAGCTGGTGGTTTGCCCTGGATTTAACGTGGCTCTGAGCAGCACTGGAGGAAATATCTGCCAGGTCTGGAGTTCTCCACCTCCTGCTGTTTTTTCCCCTCTCCTCTTTGATGGTCAGACTGGATTTCTTTGGCAGACTCCACCGCACGGAGACCAGGGTTTCCCACGTGGCATCCAGATGTGAATCTCCACATCCAGTCTGAAAAGAAAATACCACTGGTAGATGGATTACATAATGAGCTGCTAATGACATTGGTGTCATTAACCTACACGATTCAGGGCTTCGCTTCGTTTGCTCTTTTTGCTACAGTCAGTTTTGTTGATGCTTTTTTTTTTGCACGCTAAAAAAAGAAAAAAAAAAGAAAAAAGAGGAATTATTATCTTTCCATGATGACACTGTGTCCCCACCAGAAAAAATGTTCACAGCGATGTTCTGCTTTTTTTTCTTTTTTTTTTTTTCTTTTTTTTGCATTGCAGTGTGGCAAAAACATGTCAGTTCAAATGAACACACCAACAAGTCATAATTAGCAGCTTTGGATCTCAGATGGTGTGTGTGTGTGTGTGTGTGTGTGTGTGTGTGTTTCAGGCCACAGTGTCACTGGATATCCTCCCAGTGTCATCACAGAAAAGTGCAGACTTGCATTGTTTAGAAAGGAAGTTGTCCAAACAAATGAAAGCGTGTGCAAGAGTCAAAATAACACCCGGTCTTTTCACACCTACTGTTCACACATGAATGATGTTGTTGCTGCAAGATAAACGCGCTAACCACATCTACATAGATGGCACATTTACAATTTTTTTTTCTTCTCACAGTAAAACTGTGAAAACTGATTTTCCAATCTTCTTGTTTTGTAGGGATGATGGACAAAAGACGCACTGAGGTTTGGATTGGAACAGACCCCGGTCCTTCTCTCCTTCCCTGAACCCTGAGGCCTCCCCCGCCCCCTCCACCTCCTGACTACACCCACACAGGCTACCTCCTCATCTCAGCTGTGTGACTTTTTTCCATATCGGCTGAATTCCCACAGTCCTTTAATAAAATCCAAGATCCCAGGCAGGCGTCCACGTACCTCATGTCTCGGTGACGGGCCGACAGAATCCCAGGAACCATGAGGAGCAGCCGGTCCAGTCTGCTGCTGGGCTGCATTCTCCTGTGCTCCGCCTCACTGCTCTACCTGGGCATGAGCGGGACGGGGTGCCCTCCAAAGAGTCATCGGCACCGGTGGATGGAACTCAACCTGGGCGCGGCCAATCAGAGCCTGGCCCTTCCGGAACAGTTCCCCGAAGACACGGCGCTGATCTTCATCGGGGGCTTCCCCAGGAGCGGCACCACGCTGATGCGCGTCATGCTGGACGCCCACAATGCGGTACGCTGCGGGGAGGAGACTCGCGTGATCCCCCGCCTGCTGGCCATGCGGGCCACCTGGAGTCGCTCCGCGAAGGAGAGGATACGATTGGACGAGGCAGGCGTGACAGACCAAGTGTTGGATTCAGCTGTGCGAGCGTTTTTGTTAGAGGTGAGTTTGAGTCGAGCTGTTCAGGGCAGTAACACACACACACACACACACACACACACACACACACACACACACACACACACACACACACACACATGTGTTACCTCAGAAACCACAAGTCAAGTGTTTAAACCTGCTGAGCCGGCGATAATGAGTTGTTTGTTTATCGACCGGAAACCTGGTTTTAAACGTGTTAACCTCCTGGTACAAAGTCCAAAGAGAAGGTCAACATGTTTCGCTCAGAGGGGGAAATATTTATATATCCTCACTGTGGTCCCGTGTGTGTTTCAGGTTATCGTCGGCCATGGAGAGCCTGCGCCGCGGCTTTGCAACAAAGACCCGTTTGCTCTGAAGTCTCTGTCGTACCTGGCTAAAATCTTTCCTAAAGCCAAATTCGTGCTCATGCTGAGAGACGGACGAGCGGCCGTCCACTCCATGATATCACGCAAGGTATTCTTCACATAATAATATAATATGTACCACATATATATATGTATTTTTGTAAAATGTATTTTTTAAAAGCATTTTTATATTCCTGGAATATATGGTTCTCTCCGTCCAATCACAGGTGACCATCTCTGGCTTCGACCTGACCAGCTACAGAGACTGTCTGACCAAGTGGAGCAGCGCGGTGGAGACCATGTTCAGCCAGTGTCAGTCGGCGGGCGGGCACCGCTGTCTGCCCGTTCACTACGAGCAACTCGTCCTGCGCCCGGAGGACGAAATGAGGAAGTTGCTTCAGTTCCTGGACCTGCAGTGGGATCCGTCGGTGCTGCACCACGAGGAGCTGATTGGAAAAGCAGGCGGCGTTTCTCTGTCCAAGTATGTGTGTGTGACCTGCAGCCACAGAGCACGTGTCTCAGTGATGACAGTACGTGTGTGTAGGTGAAGACAAAGGTCACAGAGGTCACTGGACACCTCCACAGCAGCAGGTCAGAGTGCAGGGGAATCAGATCCCAGGAAAAGATCAGTTCCACTCTGGTATTTTTATCTGTTGTTGCAGAGATCGGATCAATGAGGTTCAAAATGACACAAACACAGGTGAAGGTGAAAGAATGAGAGACAAACAAACATGAACTATTGTTTACTGTAGTTGAATTCTGTTTTTTTAAACACAGAATACAGATAATAGTCATGTTATTAATGTCATGTTATTAGGTCTACCAGTTATTATGGTCCATATGTTTAACTCATCATCAGGTTTAACTTCTTTACTCATGGGCCGTTTCTGCTGAAGTCGGCTTCATTTTGGTAACGTCGCTGTCGTTCAGCATTTGGTCTGTGGAGAAAACAAAATGAACCGAGACAGGATGAGGTTTTTAAGGAGGATTATGGGAAGTCGTGATGTCATGGAATGTTGTGTTTATATAACAAACGTGACTCAGCAGCGTTGTCACGATATTTCCTTCATAAAACCGACTTCAACAGAGAAGTGAGTTGAGGTTTTGAGTTAAACTGAAGTACAATTTAACCTAAATAGTGTTGTGAATTTTTTTTTATTTTAATTTTTTGAACTTTCTCATTAATAACCTTCACCATTGATCACCTCTGTTTGTGTCCACACAGGGTGGAGCGGTCCACAGACCAGGTGATGAAGCCCGTGAACACAGACGCCCTGTCCACGTGGGTGGGCCACATTCCCTCTGACGTGTTGAGCGACATGGCAGAGATCGCCCCCATGTTGGCCCGTCTCGGTTACGACCCGTACGCCAACCCACCGAACTACACGAGATCAGAGACGGAGGCGTCTCCTGTTAACTACCCACACGTGGGGTAATTAACCTTTAGACTGTCTCCATAGAATGGAAATAGATTCAAATGTTAGGTTTTATTTTTTTTTCTTTCTTGGATGATTTTGATCTCATCACATAAAAATGTACTCTTTCATTTATTTCTCTGATCAGTGACTGACCAACTGGATCTGTTGTTTCCCCCCCCAGAGTCTGAAACGGCCACATTCCAACCTCCTGTAAGTGGAGGAGACTAGGAAAGTGTGTTTGCCTGGTTCAGTGTTCCATGACACCGACGGACCATGAACCCACCGACCAGATCACTGGTTGTTTTTTCAACATCGCATGAAGAGTTTAAAACTCCCTGTGGGAACTGAGCCTCGAGGACCGGAGTGAGGTGATGTCTGCCGCGGGTTCACATTCCAGGAGGTTCGATGACCGGTCTGAGCCATCGACGATGTGGTTCGATGACCGGTCTGAGCCATCGACTGTTTACTATGTAAGTGAACCACTTCAAGTCAACCGCTTCTCACTCACCAACTCTTCACCTCAGTGAACGGACGTTCGGACGCGTCCTAACCTTCTACCTGCGAGTGTTCCGGACTCTGGGATGTTATGACTTCACTATGAATGTGAATGTGTCTTGACACAAACCTTCTACTCACTGCAACGTCAGTCTCTGGCCATAAAGCAAAATGACTGTATATTTTTGGAGATGTATGTTTATTTTCCTAAATAAATTATTTTGGTGTCGACATCATCCATTCAGGAAGTTGAATGTTGTTTATTCTTGTATTTGTAGCCATGTCTTAACCTGAATTAAAAACAAAAAAAAACTTGACTGACACATTTGGAGTGTAGTTTTTTTATTTAGTACTTTTTAAGTTACAAGCTTTGCCTTTTAGACAGTAGCAAACGGTGCCCTCTAGTGGTGAACATATGAAATAGGCTCACGGAAAAAGAAACATTAAGTCGTCGAAGCTGTCTATAGTAGCAGAAAAAAGTTTTAGAATCAGAACTTATGTCAAGACCAAGGTTAGTTAAACTAATAATAATACCATAATATCAACGTTGAACAACAATTCCACACGAGTTAAAAAGAGCAAAATCAAAAACAAATTGAAAAATTATTTCCTTAAAAAAAAAAATCAATTGGCAGATCTCTGAAGTCTGCATCCTCTGCATCCTGTTATGTAGTTGCCATCATCTTTGCATATCACCATAGTAACCATCCACTTGTCAGGTTTACCAGTGACATTTAAGACACAGCTTTCGGTATGGACCTCTTCTTCCTCCCCTTCCGTTTATTCCGCGTCCCTTGTTGGGGGACCTGGCAAGGCACGGATGTTTTGGCATCTTTTGCAGCTGCAGACACTTCGGTCTTTGTATGTGCCCCACCATTGTTTGTAATAGGTGTTAGATCACTGTCCAGAGCTGCAGGGTCAACGGCCTCCTCAGGTGCGTGGACAGTGTCCGTCCGCGCCAGTTCCCATTTGTCCATTGATGTTGGAGAATCTTCTAGATCTGCGAGGACAATGGCCTCCGTACGTGTTGGAGCGCCATCTACTGTTGCAGAGGCAGTGGCAGCCTGTGGTGCGCTCTCAGAGTCCATGTGTGCAAGTTCCCATGTTTCCACTGGTGATGAAGCACCGTCAGCCTCTGCACAGTCACCGACCTTCTTTGGTGTCAGTGAGAGATCCTGCATGTCCGCTGCTGTAGGGATCGTGACCGCAGAGACACCGTCCTCCTCTGGTACCTCTGGTTTGGTCACCTCTGTTAGCTCAGCTTTGTCCACAGATACAGGCATGTTGACTGTAGCTGTAGTGAGGCTGACATCTGTGGCTGCAGGAGTTTTGGTGTCGACTGGTGGAACAGTGGACTTCTGATCCGGAGCAGCTAAGATGTTGTCCGTAGCTGCAGTAACACTGGAGTCTTCTTGAACCACGGTTTTGTCCACAGTTACAGCGACACTGGTCGTAGTTGCAGGAGTGTGGTTAACAGCTGGAGGAACAGCTTCTGACAAGTTGTCCACCATGAAACTACCGGACATTTTGGACACAACTTCAGAACCACTTTCTTTTTTACGTTCCTGGGTTTTGCGTACGGCCATGGCGTAACTGACCTTCTTGCGAACAGTACCGCAGTGAGGTGAATAGGGGCTACACTTGTCAAGTTCCTGGCCGTTGTCCCCCGCTGCAAGAACGCATGTGTTTTTTGATCTCACGACATTGAATGGTGAAAATGTCCGGAACCTTCCGTCCAGTCTAACCAGATTAGGAAGCTTCTTGAAGACCTGGCCTATCCAGGTTGCATCGGCTGAGTGTCTTTTCTCCAGAGGATTTCCCACGAACACGAGCTCTCTGAGGCGTGGCAGTTCAGCTAACCGTTCAAATTCTGCCCATTCTTTGACCATGTTTTTGGACATGTGGAGGACCTTCAGGTGTTTGAGGCACTGGATTCCCTCCAGTCTCTCGATCCAGTTAAAGGAGATCCACAGTTCTTCGAGTGTGTCTGCAACCGCTTCAAGACCAGAGAGCTCTTTGATTTTATTTCTTTCTAACGACAATATTTTGAGCTTCCTCAGTCCATCCAGACCTGTGATTTTCTCAATGCAGTTTTTGGACAGAAACAGTGTCTCACAGTTGGTCAGTGTAGAGAGGCAGTCGCTCATCTTGACCACAGGGGGATTCTGGTTACACAGTTTTACGACTTTTGCGTTGCTCACTTTCTGCCTTATCTTCTTCTCCAATTTTCCCAATGCTATCTCAAGTGGCGAGACGTTGTCCAAAGCTGTAGCACCACACAAGGGCGCTGCTTCTGGAATGTTGTCCACAACCCAAGAAACACCACACCCCCCCGTCTTATGATCTTTACCTACAGCTGGGGGGAAACTAGCCTCATCTGAGGCGTTTTCGACTTCAGGTGCACTTTCCTCCTCAAGAACTAGAGCATCGTCCACAGCTGTAAATATACGCGACCCATCTGATCTGGGGTCGTTGACTTGTACTAATGATCTAAACCTTCCGTCAAGTCTAAGTAGATTTGGAAGCCTTTGAAAGACCTGGTCCATCCACGTTCCTTCGGCCGAGTGCTTCTCCTCCAGAGGATTTCCAATGAACACCAACTCTGTCAGACGTGGCAGAGTACCCAGCCTCTCAAACTCCGCCCACTCTTTTACCATATTCTTGGACATGTGGAGAATCTTCAGGTTCTTCAGACATTCGATTCCCAATAGTGTCTCGATCTGATTAAAAGAGATCCACAGCTCTTCTAACGTGTCTCCTAGAATGTCCAGCCCAAAGAGATTGTTAATGTTGCTTCTCTCTAGTGATAACACCTTCAGGTTCCTCACTCCATCCAGGTTGATTATCTTCTCTATGCGGTTGGTGAACACGGGCATCTGTTCACAGTTGGCTACAGGAGGATACTGATGGCACAGTTGTAACATGTTTGTGTTACTCACTTTCTGTCTGGCACTTTGCTCCTTTTTGCGCAACAGGACTTTATAATACGGGATAAAATGATTGTCCAAAGCTGAAGGAGAACAGGAAGCCACGTTGGCCTCACTGACCATCTCTGGTAGCTGGTCTTTGACCACGAGTGTGGACACAGATGTTTCTTCTGATCTTGGACCATTGACTACAGCTATGTTTACCTCAGTCTCCTCTCCAGTTTCCCTGCTCTCCACCTTCGTAGACACATTGACCTCTGCTGCTGTTAGAGGGCCACCAGCCTTCACTTGGTCTTGGGGACTGTCCACATTGGTGAAACCACAGATATTTGTTAGTGGTAGATTATCTGTCTCAGCTACAGGATGAAGAAAGTCCACTCTTGGTGGTGTGATGTCCACAGCTGCAGGGGCAAACACCCCCTCGTCTGCCTGAGAGGTGTGGCCATTTGCATAAATACAGATGTCTTCAAATGGTGAAGAATCTGTCACTGCTGAGAGATCACAGGACTCCACTGGACTTGGTGCATTGTCTCCAGCTGCGAGGACATTGTCCTCGGGACAGTCCACAGCCACAAACGTACAGTTTTCTTCTTCTTCTGTCTTGCCAGGTTTATTTACTTCACGTTCTGGGTTAATGTCCAGAGCTGCAGACAGACTGGCAGCTTTTGGTGACTCTTGACTTTCATCTCTGCGTTTTCTACCTGGTGGTTTTTTGTGGTCTGCAGGAGGAAAGAAATGTTCAAAAAGTCTTCTGACAGCCGTCGTGACTTTAACACCCACAAGAAGACCAACGAATGGTAAGGGCATTTTAGATTCGTTTTACTCTCAGATCCGCTACAGGAAAATTAAATTTTCTTTTTGTTTTGTTAGAAAAACGACTCTGTGTTTTAACATGCTGCCTCTTCTGTGTTCTTGGACAGTTTAGTCCTGAGTCATGTTTAGTTACTGCCAGTGGTAACCTGCATCTCAGTTTGACTTTAATATTAGTGCCTTTATTGTCTTTATTATTATTTGGTTGGTTTGTTGGCCTTGTTCCTGTTTACATGCATTTGGCCTTTTATCTGGGATGTGTTGACGCTATTATGACAGTTGTACATTATAGTCACTTACGTTGGATACCTTGCATTACTGCTCATTTCTTCTTCTTCCCATTTAATACCATTTATTTCTGTGACTTCAAATACGTCTAACAAGTTATACCTCACAAAGCAGTCACATCTTCAAACTGTTCTATTTTAAATAAAGACAATATAAGGAGTTTTGTTTGTGCTTTATTTCTGCAGCAGAGACAAACTTGGTGTAGTTTAACATGTCGACCTCTACAGTAAATACACGCCAAAACAAGTGGATTTCCTGCCGTGTTGACAAAAAAATAACACGTATACAATTTAACGTTCAATATTTTATTTCTGTCGATACAACCATAATGATTCATTAAACCTAACTCACGTAGTCTCGCGAGTCAACACACGTATGACGTTTCCGGTGATGTAAGCAGCAGCTACGTTCCCGTAGCAACAGAGGGCCGGTCCGTTAACCGCAGCGGTTGTAGGGGAAGCGGGGCAGCTCACCCTCGAGAGGAGACTGTTGAGGCTGATAACTGTCGCCGATAACCGGACACAAGCACTGTCTTGTGGGGTATAAAGACACGGGGGCGACGCATTAGCGAGGCGGGAAGCCCTCGGTCCCGTACGGTGATGCTGAACATGTGGAAAGTCAGAGAGCTGGTGGATAAAGCGTGAGTAACCCGGAGCAGGTGCATGCTATACGGTTATAATGCTAAGCTAATCATCAGCTTTTTTTTTTTAAAGCCGCCGACATGAACGGATACGGGCTCTGACGTCACGGCTGTTAGCCTTGACTAGCTGGCTAGCTGCCAATCTTTAACCTTGTTCAACAATGCTGGTAGTACAGAAGATATAATGTGTGTATAAAGTGACACTACGTACGGTGTCCACTTCCCCCGGTCCCAATAAGGATAGAAAAAATACGATGCTTTTACTTTTAATTAAGTGATTTCCAGTGCAGACGGGACGCTACCTTTTTAGCTAATTCACCATAGCCCGCCCTGGGTATCCGTTATTTGTGTACAGTAGCAGTGGTGTTGGTGTTGGTGTTGCTGCCGATGGATCACGCCCTGTCCCATCCCGCTGACTGCCGCTGGCTTCTCGATCTTCAATTTCATTGCGTTCGTTATTTATTTGAAAAAATAATATCAGTATTCGATTAAATAAAACAGTAATGTCCAATTTCTGTTAGGGTTAGTGACCAACTAAGCATGTTAGGTAATGTTCGCATGGTCCTGGACATTGGGAATTAAGCCCGACAGTGATAATGTAGGTGTTAGACATGAAATTGACATCCATAACCCTCAGGTCTATGGCTGAATAAAGGCAGGAAGTGCTATTTATTGAAGCCTACTTAACAAGCACTAAACCTTGAATAAACATGGTGCCATGAGACACCCTGTAGATGAAGTGACAATTTAAGTAACCTGCTCTGTTGGAAGAATAATATGTGGTTCAGTCAGTGTTGTACGTGCATTCACGTGAAACTTTTTTCAGCTTTTTTTTTTAATTTTTTTTTAGAATTTCTCAAATATGTGGTTTAACATTTCTAATATTAGTAAAATAGATCATGTTTATCTTTTCTCATACGTAATTTTGCTGGAGGGTATTTAAACAGTCTTGTTTCATGTGATGGTGTAAACAAGAGAGAAAAGGAGAGTCATTTGAGAAGAACAAGAACTGGTCTGTGGAGTTGTTTGTTCAATTCCAGTTTGTCTGCTTCGTTATGAGTCAAATATCTGGGTTTTTTGTGTGTTTTTTTTCCCCACCATTTTCAGACACACTTGTAAAATTTAATACAATCTTATGACTTGACTTCATACATGTTTTGTATTTAAGTAACCACTTAAATTCAATAAATATTTTTTAAATATTGTATAGACTGGACTGTAACAACACACACAGACAGACAAACTGTAACAACAGATGTAATGGACACCAGTTCCAATTAGCTGTCGATTGTGGCTGCCTGCTCACGATGAATGCACTCCATTATTGATTTCTCCCCCAATAGAGTTGTCTGTGTCAGCGTCACTTTTCATGCAGCTTCAGAGATGTTCTATCATAGAGGCCTGAGTTGTGTTTGTCAGCCTCCTCTACTGACAGAAGCAGAAGTGGAGTCACATCATCACTTTTTGTTTTCTAAGAAATGGAAGACTGCTAGAGAAACTGGGACATGAGGCAAAAAAAGGGAGTTTAATTTGATGACGTAAAAGGATTGAAGGTTCAAATGATAAGCAAAAAGGTCAGAATAAGGACTGGAAAAATATTTATAAAGGCATTATAGGGAGGTGGATTTTTCTTTTTCTAGTGCTTGTTCTGCTCTTATTAGTTACTTTTAGTATGAAGGCCATAACCTTCCATAGATAAACAGACACTGTGCTTAAAAGGAGGTTCTGTGTTGTGTTTTTCATGGTCATAAAATTGATGCCCAACAGCTGAATCATCTGAGCATGTGTGTTATATTTATGTCAATGTTTTCTCTCTGAAATGCAGAAGTCAGGACAGGGGTCATTTATTATTCAACAAACTGAGATTCCTTTCCTCTCACTTTGGTGTGTACTCTACAAAGTGTACACAGGACTGGAAATACAGATATATATATATATATGTATACACTGGGAAACGTCACAATATTTCATTTCAATACCATATCCATATTCAACAGCACTGTATTGATGCTTTTTATTAACAATTAAAATCTAAATAATCATGTCCTTGGTTCATTTTATTTTGCTTTCTTTTTTTCTAAACCAATGTTTTTCTTGTCAACAGCACCAATGTGGTGATGAACTACTCTGAGATTGAGTCCAAAGTAAGAGAGGCCACTAATGATGATCCCTGGGGACCCTCTGGACAACTGATGGGAGAAATAGCCAAGTATGTGGGTCATGAGAATTATAGCTGCTGCTAGATGAGAACATTTACTCAAAGAAAACTTGGAAGAAGTTCTTTTCTCCAGTACTTAAATCATAAGTAGAGAAGCTGAAACTCTTTCTTGACAACATTAAACTGCTATTTTTTATTTTGTGTGTGTAGATCTACCTTTCTGTATGAGCAGTTTCCAGAGGTGATGAACATGTTGTGGACCAGGATGCTGAAGGACAACAAGAAGAACTGGAGACGAGTCTATAAGGTGAGTTAGAGTCAGGACTGGGATAGTGACTGTGTTAACTAACAGTGACATATATCCCATGACTGTGAAAGACCGAGACTTGATCTGACTCCAGGATGTGTTCACTGTCTCTCCACCAGGCTCTGCTGCTGCTGGCCTATTTGATCAGGAACGGCTCTGAAAGAGTGGTGACCAGCGCCAGAGAACACATTTATGACCTGCGATCTCTAGAAAACTATCACTTCATCGGTGTGTTCCAGCTCTAATAGTTTTCCTTTTTTTTTTAAATTATTTATTCTGTTCAGTTGTCACACGTGTGTGTAAAATGTTTGTGTCAATTTACAGACGAGAACGGGAAAGATCAGGGCATCAATGTGCGTCAAAAAGTGAAGGAGATGGTGGAGTTCGTCCAGGATGACGACAGGTTGAGGGAGGAGAGGAAGAAAGCCAAGAAGAACAAAGACAAATACATCGGTGTCTCCTCTGACAGCATGGGAGGGAGTGGCGGTGGAGGAGGAGGATTAGGAGTAGGAGGAGGAGGAGGAGGAGTGAACCTAAAGAACTGTATGTGATGTGGATTGAATTATTATTGCTTATTATTTCACATATCTATAAAATTATTTTTTAAGTGTCATTGATGGCAGTATGTATCCAGTGTTAAGTCACTGTGTGTTTTTGTGGAATTAAAATATCTTGATTTTTGGTTGTTGAAATAACTTTTCTCATGCCACTGCCCTTCTTTCCTTCTTTCCCTTTTTGTAGCCAATGAGCTGGATCGAAACAAATGGGACGAGGACTGGGATAAGAGCAGAGGAGCTTTTCCCTTCAGCGAGAAACTGGGAGAGATCAGTGACAAAATAGGCAGCACTATCGACGACACAATCAACAAGTTCAGAAAGAAGGAACGGGATGATTCGCCCGATAGAGTCAGGTAGAGTCAAAGAGAGCGAGAGAGAGTGAGTTGACGTTTGGAGTGATGGATGAATGAGTTTGCATCACAACAATTACTACATACATTTAAATTGTAAAATTTCACAAAATTTCAAAAATGCTGTAAAATGAAATGAAATATTGCAGTATTTCAGCGCATCAGTATTTTCTTACACCCCTAATATTGTGTGTTTCACAGTGACAACGAGGAGGACCAGACGTCTAGGAACGGTCGTCAGGAAACTCTAGAGTTTAAAGATGAGGAGGAAACCGTCACAACCAAGAGCATCCAGATCACACAGGCCACAGAAACTACAACCACCACCACACGGAAACGCAGCGGAGCGCCGAGCAGCAAGACCCTGGATCTGGGGGCTGCGGCTCACTACACCGGAGACAAGAGTCCAGAGGACAAGGTAGAGTTCTCCCACTGACACCTGCACATTTTCAAAAGTGAGGCTCATGTCTGACTGTCTCCTCTCCTCGTCCCAGTCGTCAGGGAATCAGTCGTCCAGCGGTGGTATCGCTGACCTGTTATTGATTGACCCTTCACCTGGTCAGAGCAGTACAGCAGGTAACAGTGAACAGGTTTGCTCGAAGATTTTAGATGGAAAAAAATATAGCCATAAAACAGTTTAATTATTGCTTTTCTTTTGCTCCCTCATCCAGGTGGAACGTCAGAACTTATCGCTGGCTTTGCTGACTTCTCCTCCCCCGCAGCCTCTGCCACCCTCCCAACATCCACTGGTAAATTAGAGCGATGGTCGAAACTTTTTTGTTTAATCTAATATTTTGTTTTCTCAAATAAATATTTCTCTCCTCTCCTCTGAGCAGCTGCAGTATCATCCAATGGAAACGCTGAATTTGGAGACTGGAGTGCCTTCTCCACCAGTCCGCCTGCATCGTCAGGGTCGGCTTCTTCTCAGCCCGTCACTGACCTGTTTGGCAGCGTTCAGTCACCCAAAGCTGCGGCCTCTAATCCAAACACGGTCCCTCCTTCTGCCGAGCTCTTTGACCTGATGGGTGGATCCATGAGTCATCCGTTGACCAATCAACACACGACACTGAGTGCGTCTCAGAGTCTGACTTTCTCCCTGGGAGGGGTGACGCCAGGGGCTTCTGTTTCCATGCCCACCATGGCTTTCTCTCGCTCTCAACAAGTAAGTAGCACGTGGGTTTGCTAAATAAATAAAAGATGGAGGTTAAATTACAGCATCATCACTGAGTGACAGGGGTTAAAGTTAATCATTTCCAGAGATCTTACCTTGAGTTTTATTTTTACATTCTTTAGTTTCATGAAGGGGTTAAAGTTAATCATTTCCAGAGAGAGTTTCATGCGTCTGTTTTAATCACATTTTTGCTGCTAAAAGTGTAAAATGCCTATATTTTGATTTCAGAGTCTGGAGGGAATGACATCACAAGCACAACAGCAGAAGGTTGGGGTCGGAGGTCAGGGGTCTTTAGGGTCGACATGGTCTGACCCTTCTGTCAACATCAGCCTAGACTTCTTATCAGCGGGACTCAACTCCGCCAAGACACCACCCACTCTCAACAACATCATCCAGCAACAAGGTAACTCCGTTGTTCACACAAATTCTGGTTCAGGTTCAGGTTGTCCTTACAACGTGACGGACATTATTACACTTCTGTTTTTGCAGGAGTGCCTCCCGTCAACCTGTTGTCCCAGAACTTTGGGGGTCTCAATCTGAGCTCCCCACCCCATACGACGCCCATCAGACCTCCTTCCAATCCCATGATGGCAGGCGGCGCCATGACGATGGGCATGCCTACCTCCTTACCTGCAATGACCACGGGAACAATGGGCATGGGTGGGATACCTGCGAACCAAGGCATGATGGGAATGAACATGAGCATGAATCTGGGCATGGCCGCTCCGGTCATGATGAGTGGAATGGGAACGTCGGGAGTGGGAATGGGCCTGACTCACCCCATCCCCCCTGCCATGGTTCAGCCTAAACAAGATGCCTTTGCTAATTTTGGTAGTTTTGGGAAATGAAGGCATAAAATTGCGTGCGTGCGTTTGTGTGAGAGAGACTGTGTGAGTGTGTGTGTGAGAGATCATGCATGTTTGACAGAATGGGAGTTTAAACCACGGAAGAACTGCTGTACTTGAAGACATCCCTGCATGTTTCTCTCATTCTCTGCTACTGTTCTTTGGTGAGGTACCACCACTGATCACTCACCTACTCAGTAAATGACAAGACCTCTCAAACAGGAAAGAGCGCCCACTGGTGCTCTGTACAGAGCAGGGAAGTGATTAACCCACAGATTTTAGTCCTAACTTTATTCTGAGTATCAAGGTTGTCATATTAACCATTTTTATACCGTTTGTCCACTGCACTATACCCACACTCCTCACAACACAACAGTGCAAAAATGTTTTTCCTTTATACACAGGGTTACGTTGGAAACAGTGGAGTCTGAACCGAGGCTCTGTTATTAAGTTAATAAGTCCAGAGATAACGAGAACCACCAGGGGGCAAAAAATCAGTTTGACATTAAAGTCTTTGTGAAAATGATGCTGCTCTTTATTTAGATGACACAAAGGGCAGTTAATAAAGTTTGACTCTATTTAAAATTAGGATAAAATTGTATCAGATAGTCAATAATTTATTATGAGACACAATCTCAAACTCACGCTGTGTCCCTCTTCCCCAAACCTCTGTCTTCCTTTCTGAGGCTTCAATTTCCAGGTACCTCCTTCAGTTTCTTACATACAATCTATTTTTTTAGGCAGATCTAGTTAACTAGATCCAACTAAACTAGTTAACTCAGATGGAAATTGTTCAGTGCATAAATTAAGACATGTACATGTTGTCACTCTGTGTGTACAATGTAACGGTCACAGTATTCTCAGCAAAGGTGATGCCCTGTACCTCCAGCAGAGGACAGAAAGTTGTCGCATAATATCCTTTTCCTTTTTGTTGCCTCAGTTTGTTTGTAGCGGTTCACCACTGGGTGTGCAGGAGGATCTTGTTTTGTTTTTCAAGCAGCTTCACCACTGGGTGTGCAGGAGGATCTTTTGTTTTTCAAGCAGTCGTTGTCCAATGAACTAGCATCTTATCCAGGACCCAAGTTTCGAAGTACTCAATTTAACTGTAACAAAATAAAGAAACAGGTACAAGTGGTTTTATCCATTTTCCATATAACGCAGCCCAGGGACTCGATTTTAGGTCACAACCCGACATTTGAGAAACACTGGTTAAAAACTTAAAATAATGCAGAAATCTTCTTTAAAATACAACAAAACAATATAGCCCTCCTAAATGTATATTTTTGTTTAAAACAGCAACAAAGCAGCAAAAGTGGCAGAACATTAAAAAATAACCAAGTATTTTTTGCCATAAAACTTTTTCATTTCACTATTTTTAGCTTAATGGCATTTTTTAAAGTCTTGCAAATAATGTTCAACAAAAACAACATTCAACCTTAGCATGAAATGCAAGAGTTCTTCACATAATTTACCATAAAAGGCCTACCGGTAATCAAATAGTCTTGAGATGTTGAGTGATACCTGTAAGTGCGAATAACAAGTTAATGTGAGTGTGTGTGAGTTTGTGTATGAATTTAGTTTCCTGTTTGATGTGCAAACACAATTAAGCAGAGTCTGGTGTAATTTTGTGAGGCACTGCACTCCAAATGACCAAATCTTTATTTTATTACTCTCAGAATCATGATTCCATAGTAATTAGTTTAATACTTTTAGTTTTCTGGTTCTTTTGCTGATGTGGAACATAAACTATTATTAACATTATTTAGTTTTAAGAAACTGATTTTCTTTTTTGGTACAGGTATGCTTTGTTTGATTGTACTCTATATTTTCTGTACTTCATTCAACAATAAATTAAATTGTAACAAGAAACGGTCGAAGTCCATATTTTTACTACTGTTACCATATGACCAAGTAGTGTTAACTAACACACCTCTTGTTCTGATGACAGAAAACCTTAAGTTGCCTTTGTTCTACCAATTTGGAGGAAACACATTGAAACTACTAACTCGCCGAAGAGCAAGTGAGAAAAATATTATACATTAAAAACAAAAAAAAATCAAGGTGCTAAATTGAAAAAAAGGGGAAATTAAGGCAACAGAATAACTTAAATGTTGTTATTTGGTCAGTTGTTTCAGCAAACACGAACAAAGACGTAACAAAAACTCGCACAGAAGCGAACATTGTCCTTGAATCAGAGTTCTCGCCGCTTTGACTGACAGTCACGTTAAACCAATAGACAACGAGAATGTTGTCAAAGGCGTATCCAGGAAGAGAGCCGTTACACTTTCCTGTAATGGCGGACCAGGCAGAGAGCGAGTCTATCGGATACGGTGATAACAGGTCAGATAATAGAGAAACAAAAGAAAATGTGTGCAAGAAATATTTCGCGAAACATTCAACATTACATTTCAACACTGTCCTAAGTTATTTTAGCTCACCAGATTACGTTAGCCAATAGTTTGAGCCTCTAGTGTGGTCACGCTAGCCAGTTAGCTTGTGGCTAACTAGCCTGTGTTTCTAAACGGCACTGTCTTGAGCTCGTGGCACGCGGTAAACACCGGCATCCAGATGGAACAACGTACATGGGTTTGGTCAGTTGTGCGCGGCTACCTAATGTTTGTGTAAACATATCGATGTTGTTACTCTTATCTGCTACTGGTATATTATAAACACGACAGCTGGATCGCGCTAAAAATTCTAAGAAGCAATAGTACACAGCGCCGCTATGTTGTAAACAGTTACTCTCTGTTTATGACCAAATCACTGGTTCAATGGTTTCCCCAGTATAGTCCCAACTGGACACAACTCGAATGGTTTATTTGTATTAAGCGATTGCGTATACAATTTAAACAGGCGGTGTAGGCTGCAACTAGTCCTCGAGCCAGAACAACGCCTACACCAATGTCCCTGTACTTAAGTACTTATGTCACTTAATTAACCCGTATAATTAAACATAATTGTTTAAAGAAGAATACTAGTACTATTTAGAGGTTGCAACCACTTTGCCGTTGCACTTCGTGTCACTGATTCAACAATACGCTGCATGTATTCCTTAAAGAAGTTGGACCATGTAGACGTCCAAACACAGTCGTCTTGAGCCTGTCTAATTGGTCTAATCTGCGTTGATTTCTGACTGATCTCACAGTTTAACATTGGCCTAATGAATGGTACCTAATAGAATAGTGCGTTTGTACTGTCAAGGCTTGAATCAATAACATAGGTAAACTATATGCAAAAGCACTACATTGCATGACGAGTTTTGTGCTATATTTGTGCGTTTTAAATATTTCAGTTGAGTGCACAAGCCATGCCCAAAAAGTTGTCATAAGCCCTGAATCCAGGTAGTGCACTTTACCAGTTTGTTTACCTGCCTTTTGTGTTGTAATCTGTGAAGACATTTAAATCATATTTTTTTTGTCATTAAACCAGTAGGGGAGGTGCCTGATTAGTCCTGAATTGGTTTGTTGGTCAGAACATTGATTAAGACTTAAAAACTACAATAAGTTTAACTAACACCATGCTATCTATGTTCATAGTCACTTCAATCACCTTTCTTCCCCTTTCTCGTGCTCAGTTTGAACTTCATCAGGACATGCCTAAATGCAAAGTTGCTGCCTTCTGATCGGCTGAGTAGATTTTTGTCTTAACAAGCAGTTGAACAGGAGTACCTAATATAATGGCTGGTGAGTGTACATGTTTTTACATATCACCAAGTAGGACAGTGTTAATGCTCTGCCTTTTTAATATAATGGTTCAGGTGGATTTCTTTCACAACTACTTGAAAGTGGCAGCTTAAGAGGAAGTATGTGCAGGGACACTATCAACCTTTCATTTTAAATAAGAAACATGTTTATAAATACTGACAAACATAGCATTCATTGCCTTGCTGTATTTTGTTTTGCTTCTGTTTTATTAATAAAATACTTGTAGTGCCTTCAAGTACTACAAACTTAAGCTGAATTCTTCTTTGCAATATTAGAATGGTGCAACAGGCAGTGCGCTTCCGCAGCCCTGCCCCTGGTCCCATACCTGGTTCAGCACCTGGTCCTGTGCCGGGCCCTACACCTCCGCCCGTCCAGACTCCAGTGTTACGAGGACCTCCACCTCTCCTTAGGCCGCCACCGCCTCCCTTTGGGATGATGAGGGGACCTCCACCTCGACCTCCTTATGCACGTCCTCCCTTTGACCCCAACATGCCGCCCATTCCCCCTCCTGGAGGCATGCCACCACCTATTGGACCTCCTCACTTACAGGTGACAATCATATAGATGTACGCAGTTATGGGGGCTTGATCCATTTAGTATTACATATTTAATGCTGTATTTTATTCTGTTTCCTCCTACAGAGACCCCCATTCCTTCCCCCTCCCATTAGCAACATGCCACCGCCTCCAGGGATGCTGTTTCCTCCTGGTATGCCTCCTGCTCCTACTACAGGATCCCCTGCCCTTAACCCTGCTGAGGAGATCTGGGTGGAGAACAAGGCGTCAGAAGGAAAGGTAAAGTGAAGTCATGAACTGTTGTGTTTGCCGTTTGATTAAACTGTGACAAGAGGTTTCAAATTGTTAGAAATGTATTCAAAGGTCAGCATACTATTTTACTCTAAGTTTTTTGTTTTTTGAGGCAACAACAGCCTAACAAAGAGTCTGATGTTTAATTTAATGATAAATTTTATCATTGGTCATTGAATATGTCACAGAACTTTTGGATGACACTTTTTATAGGCTTATTACTACAACGCAAGGACCCGGGAGTCATCGTGGTCGAAACCAGAGGGTGTGAAAATCATCCAGCAGTCTGAGCTCAACCCACTCCTCGTCGGAGCCACAGGAAACCCTGGGGCTGGAGCGAGTGGGGGAGTTTCCGCAGCTGCTTGCAGCCCCAGTTCTGTCAACACTACAGTTAGCACAGCAGTGACGGCGGTAGCCTCTCCGACTCACGGCCCAAACACAACCCCCTCCCGTGCCCTCACCGCCAGTCCAGACTCTACCACCTCCCCGCCACCTGCTGTGACCATCACAGGTGAGTGCAGAGACTCAAAGAATCAAATATAAACCTTTACAAGAGGACATATGATAAAAAAAATAATTTATTTTGTCTCTCGTTCCCTTTAGCCTCTGTTGTAGCAGACCTCCCCACAGTGGCCACAGTGACCTCCACTGTAACTGTATCTCCGGTCACCGTGGTGACCGTTTCCACAGTGCCGTCACCTGTGACAGCAGTGCAGACCTTGCCGCTGCTGCCTGCAGCCCTGCCTCACAGTGTGGCCCAGCCCACCACAGCCATACCTGCCTTCCCCCCTGTCATGGTGCCGCCCTTCAGGGTACCCTTGCCAGGCATGCACATCCCTCTACCAGGTGAGAAAAACGCAAACTCAGAGCGAGAAACCCCTCGTACTACACGGTTGCACTCACCAGCATCACATTCATCAGTATGCGCTACATTCAATAAGACTGGTCAGTAAAACTGTTTTCATTTTCGTCTGGCTTTTAGTCATGTACACAACTGTACTGTATAAACAGTCATGCACAATTCAGCGTGTGTGCGTCGTGTGTGTTTGTCTGAGTGTGACCACGAACACACCGCGACAGGCGACTGCCTCGTGTCCTCCTGTGTTCAACCCGATGCCTGCTTGTCCATTGTTCTTTCAGGTGTAGCAATGATGCAGATAGTAGGTGCGCCGTGCGTAAAGGCGGGCCCCAGCGCCAACGGTAAACACCCAGCCGCTCGCCACTCAGAACCCACAGTAGATGGCATGGTAGTGAATGGTGTCCACATACAGTCATGCTGAAGCAGTGAAGGCACTGGTTCTGCAGTGAATGCTGTGATCATGATCCATCCAGTGTACTGTGGTGAAACTGCTCCCATCTCCACAAACAGACGTCTGACAGTTACTGTACTCAGAGATGTCTGACCTCATCATGATTGAACTTCATCAGGATGTCACATTAAACAAACATGTCACATTAAAACATATAATCTCCTGCATCTACAAAGATGTTGTTTTGTTTTGCTGATCTCCGTCTGAGCAGCAGTCCTGGGAACAAATGTTCTGTTTTGTTTGACTGATAAAAGCGTTTCTGCGCGTTACTCTCTGAAGCTGGTGCACAGTTGTCTAGTTTACCATCATCTGTCATTCCTCACCTGCATCTCCTCAAATGTGAGGTCGTCAGTGAGAGTTAGTGATTATGGACTTGGTCGTAGTCAGTTGTGAGTTAGAGACAGTCCTGCTGCAGTTGTATGGTATAGACAACTTACTCATGTTGGTGTCCTTTTGTGGCATGTTTGTGTGTGTGTGTATGTTCAATATCTGGTCTCAGTTTGTTGTCCTTAGGTCATGTTTGAGTTTGAGCAGTTAACTTTTATCAACCCATTAGAGCCATCTTTTATTCCCTCACTTCCAATCTGACCTGTGTGTTTGATGACAGATACTTCCAGTTCCTTATTTCTGTAGTTAGTCACCCTAGGTTGTCTGGGGAATTGTTGCGTCTTCCCAAGTTGTTTATCCGTAGTCTAAGTGAAGGAATGACCTCTGTCATAAAAATGATCATGCAGGTTACAGCATTACAGTAGAATTCTGACTTCATGATCTGTGCGTCCACTCTCTGGTCACAGGTATGCTTCCTGGTATGGGCCCTCCTTTAGTTTCCATGATGCATCCTCAGTTGGCTCTGTCCGCCGCTCCTGCTTCCATGGCCGGATCGTTGCACCTTCCTGAGTGGACCGAATACAAAACAGCCGACGGGAAAACCTACTACTACAACAACCGCACACTGGAGTCCACCTGGGAGAAACCACATTCCCTATTGGAGAAAGGTGGGCACGAACCACCGCCACTTGACATTTGTCACGGTCAGAGTCAGTTGACGTCATGTCATTAACACTTCCTCTCACTGTCATTAGAAAAAGAGGCAGAAAAGGTAAAGGAGCGATTGGCCCAGGAGGAAGCTGAGGCGATGGAACTGGAGGCTGAAGAGCTGAGACTGGAGGGGATTAACGACAAGGAGGTGTGTGGAAAGAATAGTAAATACATTCTTGAGAAGTTAGCACAGTGGTCATTCAGGCCTTTTTTTGTTGGTAAAACGACCTGTAATTCAGACATTACTTTAAGGATAAAAATGATATTAATGAGATTAATCTGTTCTTTTTCTTTCCTCATCAAGGAGCCCAAAGAGGAGGAGATGACAGAGGAAGAAAAAGCAGCTCAGAAAGCCCGACCTATAGCCACCAATCCCATCCCAGGAACTCCATGGTACATACGCCACCTCACAGCCCACGTTAAATGACCTTTAATATCGATTTAAACACTGATTCTTTTGCTGCTTCTCCATGAGTCTAAGTATCTGTGTCTGCTCTCATCAGGTGTGTAGTGTGGACGGGCGATGATCGGGTCTTTTTCTACAACCCCACAACACGGATGTCCATGTGGGACAGACCTGAAGAGCTGGTGGGTCGAGCCGATGTTGACAAGCACATTCAGGAGCCGCCTCACAAGAGGGGCCTGGAGGAAAACAAGAAGACGGGTGAGGACACGACCAGTCACATGATTTCTAGTCTTCTCTTGGTACATGGATAGTTTTTGGTCTTTTTTAGGAGCAAAATGACATTGTGTTTGACTTTGCTGTTTGCAATCAAGCTGACAGTCTTGGATAAACCTAGATTTTTGTATAAAATCACACATTTTGTCCATTCCAAAGATTCTAAAGTAGCTAAGTAACAGGTTGCAGACTCCTGCACTGGAGAATATTATGATTTTAAATGTTTGTGTTTGTACACAGCAGTGAGTAAGGACGATGCAGAATTGGCGATGGCCACTGATGATATTCCAGAGGAAGAGCCGTCTAAAGCCAAAAAGAGGAAGTATGTATCTGTGTAGTTGGTCCACCGTCTGTCACGTGTCGTCTTTTCAATACTCTAACCTCCTCCTGTGTGACTTCCACCAAAGAAAGGAGGATGTGAAAGAGACGGACACCGAGAAGGAAGCGGCGATGGAGGCCGAGCTCAAAGCAGCCAGAGAGAGAGCTGTGGTGCCACTGGAAGCCAGGATGACTCAGTTCAAAGACATGCTGCTGGAAAGAGGGGTCAGCAGATGATGAACTAAACTTAATGCAGTATTTATTTTAAGGACTCTTTGTGAATTTGTCAGATTTTGATGACAGAAACACTGCCACAAACAATAGATCTACCTTTCTCTTCCTAATGCAGTACTTACATTTTGTTTTTCCCACTCAGGTGTCTGCTTTCTCCACGTGGGACAAAGAGCTTCACAAGATCGTCTTTGACCCACGGTACCTCCTGCTCAACCCCAAAGAGAGAAAACAGGTCCAGTATTTCTTTGGTTTACAAGCTTTTTCTCTCCCTCTGTCCTCACAGTGTCGTCAGCATTTGTCTTTTGTAGTTGTATCACACTTTTTTTTTTTCGTTGCAGGTCTTTGATCAGTATGTGAAGACGCGTGCAGAGGAGGAGAGAAAGGAGAAGAAGAACAAGCTGATGCAGGCTAAAGACGACTTCAGGAGGATGATGGAGGAGTCAAAGCTCACAGCCAGGTGAAGGAGAACTTCCACCTCATGGCCTCTCGTCCTCTGAGTTATAACCAAGGAGGACATGTAATACCGTGAACATTATATAGTATGTTTGGCCAGATATGAGTACTTGTTTACAAAAGTAGAAGTGGCTTTTTGCAGTTCTGGCTTGTTATTCCAACAGAGGCTGGTTTATGACTTTCTAAGATTGTAACTCATTATATTACACATTTAAACTGTTAAAACGTGGACGTCTTCATATTTGTGTTTTTTTTTTCTACTGTTTTTGTGCAGAACAACTTTTAGTGAATTCGCAATGAGGCACGGACGAGACCCTCGATTTAAGTCCATAGACAAGATGAAGGACAGGGAGGCCATCTACATAGAATTCATCACTGCAATGAAGAAGAGGGACAAAGAAGACACCAAGTCCAGAGGCGAGAAGGTACAAGTCCTTCAGAGACTATTGAGATAATCAACCTACAGCATCACTTCTCTACTGTGTTGGAAACATTGACATCAGTACTGTTGATGTCTCCTCTCATCTGTTTTTATGGTCTCTTTATCTCCACAAAGTTTTTGACATCCTGCATAGATGATGCGATTAAGAGTGATTTGTAATTTGTTTTGATGTAATTACACATTACCAACCTGCAGGTGGCGATCATTTTCACATTTCGATTCCATCCAACCCAGACTTGAACGTTGACATTCATCGTTGTGTTTTCTCTTTCTGCTCCGTTTTCAGGTGAAGCAGGACTTTTTTGATCTCCTAACCGAGCAGCACATAGAGACGGGCCAACGATGGAGCAAAGTCAAAGAGAGGCTGGAGACCGACCCCCGGTACAAGTCTGTGGACAGTTCTGCACTCAGAGAGGAGCTTTTCAAACAGTACATGGAAAAACTAGCAAAGGTAGAAACCTCTGCCCAAAACATATAAATGTTAAATGTTTAGTTTACTAAAACCAACAGACCAGTCTGAACTGGACATCAGTTAAAAAAAAAAAACTAACTGAAAGATTTTCATGTCTACTGAACTGGACATCAGTTAAAAAAAAAACTGAAAGATTTTCATGTCTGTCTCGTTCACAGAACGTGGACATCGACAAAGAGCGAGAGTTGGAGCGTCAGGCTCGGATCGAGGCCAGTCTCCGAGAGCGAGAGCGCGAGGTGCAGAAGGCCCGGTCGGAACAGACCAAAGAGATCGACCGCGAGAGAGAGCAGCACAAGAGGGAGGAGGCCATTCAGCATTTCAAAGCTCTCATGTCGGACATGGTGAGATTGCGGTGCAGGTTTTTACCATCAGTGTGGATTTAATTTGTTAATGAATGACTTTCTTTAGTGAAAATGTCACCTGAAAAACCCTGACTTTTCTTATTTTTCTGTAATTCATCAGGTCCGTTCTTCAGATGCAACGTGGTCCGACACGCGCCGTAACCTGAGGAAGGACCACCGCTGGGAGTCGGCGTCGTTGCTGGAGAGAGAGGAGAAGGAGAAGCTGTTCAATGAACACGTGGAAGCTCTGGCCAAGAAGAAGAAAGAACAGTTCAGACAACTGCTGGATGAGACTAGCACGGTGAGCACGTCTGATGACGATCTCTGTTGTCTCCATTTATACCAGAAAAATGACACATTATTATCTTTCAAATTAGTGCAGCTTGCTTTTGAAAATGTTTCAGGTGTCACTGTCTCATTGACTGACATTTGTGTTGTAGATCACTTTGACAACAACCTGGAAGGAAGTGAAAAAGGTGATCAAGGAGGACCCTCGCTGTATAAAGTTCTCCTCCAGTGACAGAGTAAGGACGTCATTCCCAGAGGACGCCACTGTTTGATCCTCAACAACGACCCCGCTCCTGTTAGTCATGGCTGCGTCACCTACTGATTGTAAAATGTAATATTTTGATTGGTCTTTACAGAAGAGACAGCGGGAGTTTGAAGACTACATTAAAGACAAGTACATCATAGCCAAAGCTGACTTCAGAACCCTGCTGAAGGAGACAAAGTTCATCACCTACAGGTCTGTTCTCGCAACTACATTATATGTCTGTGTACTTTCTGTTTTGCTCATTTGAAATCAGGTCTGTCCTCGCAACTACATTATATGCAAAGAGTATCATTAATTATTACTGTAAATGCAGTAAGTTTTATTCATAAACCACTATGTCCTTCAGGTCAAGGAAACTCATCCAGGAGTCGGAGCAGCACCTGAAGGATGTGGAGAAAATCCTCCAGAACGACAAGCGTTACCTGGTCCTGGAGTGCGTCCCCGACGAGCGGAGAAAACTCATCATGTTTTACATCGACGACCTGGACCGCAGAGGGCCGCCACCTCCCCCCACCGCCTCCGAACCCACCAGACGATCCACCAAGTGACCGGTCAGCATCAGCGTCTCGACTGGTGTCCCAATCCAACTGACCTACCCTCTGGCCGGAGCATGACCTCACCCCCAGCATCGTCTGAACCCCTCCCACCAGGACCACGGCTGGCTTTGCAGAATTATTGCTGGGGGTTATGTTATTAGAGATGTAGCATGGAGATGAACAGTAAAGGTCTCTGTGTTATGTCATCCATTAGCCCTGAAATAGCCCTGCCCTTTAAGGCAAACGCAGGGAACAGATGTCATCTGATCCTAAGGTGACCGTTGCCCTGCCCCTCACCTCTGACCTCTGACACTGGAGGAAGTGAGGGAAACTGATGAGGCTGCCGCCTGAGCAGCCACAGAGGTGTAAGATAACTGATGTAAATGAAGACGTGTGTGTGTGTGTGTGTGTGTGTAATGGTGTGTTTGCGCGAATGTGTGCATGTGTCGGAGGCGTCCCGGAGCCTTTACTGCTCCACTGTGCCATTTATTTGTTCCAGTGGCTCAGTTTGAATGTTCGTTTCTGCCCAGTGGTTTACTCTGATGTTGCAACATTTTCTTTGTTGGATGAAATAAAGGCAACTTCCACTGTTTTTTTCAACTCCTTATCCTGTTTATTCTGTTCTGAAGTTTTATTAACATTGTCATTGTAGTAATGTCCCAGTTATATGGAGGAAAATGTCCCAGGAACAAATACATGTTAGTCTGCAGGGATTTGGGTTTTTATGTATAAAAAGGTCTGAAGTATGTTGATTATATTAAAAAAAATTAAAAATCTAAAACAAAAGGGGAGGATTAGCTTTGGTCTGATCTCGAATGTTGTTTTCTTGGAGCTACGTAGTAAATTATGTAAAACACGTACGTTTAGTTATCAGGTGACGTAACTGTCTAGGAAAGCTGTGATTGGCCGAGGGATGCCATGGGTTCAGTTATGTTGCTGGACGCAATGCCGCATCGTTATCACACTCAACGGGCCATTTTAGTCCAATATTGCTCATCTGTCAAATAAATACACTGGCTTTTTTCGCATTGGGAAAGCTGTCCATATTGCGTTTGTTGTTCTGAATCTTATATTTCATCTGTCAAATAAATACACTGGCTTTGGGAAAGCTGTCCATATTGCGTTCGTTGTTCTGAATCTTATATCAGTCGTAAAGGAAATGCGGTAGGAAAAACGAAGGTGAAGGAACGGCCGCTGCTGTTTTGTCCTTCCGGCTCTCCTCTGCTCTGTCGCCGCTATGGAAGTCTCTATGCTCCCGCTCTCTGTCTTTCTTCTGATAACTACCTTGATTGTCGGTGACCCGGAGGTACATGCTCCCGTGGACGGAGCTCCACCTTCTAAAATAGGTAAAAATGTCCCCTAAAATACGAATTTAGTGTCCGTAACATCATCACAAGAGCTCGTAGAATTAAGCTAACGTTCGCCCAAAATAAATGGCCTCCTGTTGTGATGCCTTTTTTTTTATTTATCAACTGTGCTTAACGTTAACATGTGGTAAAATCATCTGAAGTGGATATTTCCTTTTTATTTTAATATTAAAATAAAATTTTAATGTATTTAAATAGAGACTACGAAAGTCATCAGTTAACATTTTTCACGGGTTAGTAAATTATTCTGGGCCCTTCCGTCATCAACCTAACCAGCAAACGTTGTACATTTGTCATGTTTTGCTAGCGTACTGAACAACATTATGATACCGTCAAATGGTTCTCAAACTATGGTGACCTTACCACTGATGGTACATAGAGGGATTTACGTTAAAATCACAACACAAGTTGTTAAACAAAGGAGTTTTATATAAATATAAACCCATTACTTTTAGTATTAATTTAATTCTCACTCCTGTTTACAGCCGTGGTCGGTGCAGGGATTGGAGGAAGTGCTACTGCTCACTTCCTGCGGCAGCACTTTGGCCCAGAAGTCCAGGTAGATGTGTACGACAAAGGTGAAGTCGGGGGTCGTCTCTCCACTGTGTCCGTCAACCATAACGAGTACGAGACCGGAGGCTCCATCATCCACTCCCTGAACCTCCACATGCAGGACTTTGTCAAACAGCTGGGTGAGTGTACACGCCTACAACACTCCACATACACACAACAATTGAATCAGGTGGAAAATTCAGTCTTCAACCTGTTTTATTGTCGTGTCCTAAATCCAAGGTTTGAAGTACCGACGCAGTGTGGCAGGCAAAATGGCAGTGTTTAACGGCAAGGAGGTGATTCTGGAGGAGACGGACTGGTACCTGCTGGACCTCTTCAGGCTGTGGTGGCGCTACGGGATCAGCTTCATACGCCTGCAAATGTGGGTGGAGGAAATCATGGAGAAGTTCATGCGGTGAGCCAAGATTATGTCATTGGTATCTAAGAAAGACAAGCTGTTCTGGATGTGGCTGCTAATCTCCCTTACCTCACCTAAAAAATCTTCCTGTCATGGAAATACAAATACTCTAATGACTCAGAGTTGTTTGCACACAGGATCTCATTAGTTCTTAGTAGCCACAGGATTTACCTTCACAAATAAGATAATTTTTCAATGCAGTTGTTTTAAATTCTTGCCTGTTATGGTGTGCAAGAAAATATCAAATCAGTTATTTTGTGATTTTTTTTTTCTTACAAATTCTCAGTCCAATATTCCTGGTGTTGCTTCATTTTCTTCTTGATTCCAAATGTAGATCCCTCTGTTCCTGATGTTCAGGTTCTCCTTCCTGTTTTTCTTCTAACTCTTCTGCACCTCCTTTATCTCCTTCTCCCACGTCTACATTTACATCGAAGGTTGTACAAGTACCAGGCCCACGGCTACGCCTTCAGCTCGGTGGAGGAGCTGCTGAATTCTCTCGGAGGGAGCGGATTCATCAACATGACCCGCAGGCCGCTCTCGGACTCGCTGCTGGAGCTGGGGGTGTCGCAGCGCTTCATCGAAGAGGTCATCGTTCCCATCATCAGGGTCAACTACGGGCAGAACATCAGCATCCCTGCCTTCATAGGTCAGAGGGTAGAAAAATACTGCTGGTCCTGGTTCCTGTGGGAAAATGTTGTCTCAGGGTCCGTGATGTTTTAGTCCTGTTTATATTTATGGTCCACGTAGCTCAGCAGAACCACAGGCAGGTTAAAGCCAGTGATGCTGACTTTAACCTGCCTGTGGTTAAAGTCACAACTTCAACCACCCTCAACTCTTACCTCCACATCACCTTCAGTGTAATGGGAATGGAAATTTCAGACATTCCCAGTAGGGAAGGACGGGGGAAGTGAATAGAACCCTGTGAAGGGCCACGCAGCTGAAATCAGGCTGATCGTCCACGTCTGTCGACGGATGTAGGTCAGGACAGATGAATAAAGTGGAAACAAGACGAGACAATTTAGGTAGGAGCAGAAAGTCAGAAATAGAAGAGAGGAAAACAAGGTGAGAAGAAGAGGCGGAGAGTCCTGTGGGAGCGCGAGAGACAGAGAGGCACGTGGGAAGATGGAGACAGATTTAAAGAAGTCACTGCTCTCTCTGTGTGTGTGTGTGTGTGTGTGTGTGTGTTTCAGGTGCTGTGTCTTTGGCTGGCTCTCAGAACAACCTGTGGGCAGTGGAAGGTGGTAACAAGCTGGTGTGTTCTGGCCTCCTGAAGATGGCTAACGCTAACGTGCTAAAGGCAGAGGTCAACACCATTTCCCCCGTCCAGAAAGGTACAAGACCAAAAAAACAAAACAAAGTAGCTTTTTCATTTAGTCTAATGTCTGAGCCTCCACATCACCACCTGTTGCAGCGTGTTTGGTTTCGTCCAGATTCTTATTCTGTCCATTTCTTACACTCGTCTTTGATTTAAAAAAAAAAAAAAAGGAAGCAAGCTTCATCCAAGATATGAAGCCTCATCGTAAGAGTCTGTCCAGTTTCCTCTGCGTTTTACTAACATTTTAACAACAATCAACAGCTGTTTGTACATTGGCAGATGGAAGTCGGAAATTTCCCAAGACGTCGTCCTGGCCTAGAAACACATACCTGTCTGTTCAGGTCTCAGCGTGTGTGAAGTCTTTATCATCGTGGACTCGTGCCGACAAACGCTTGTCTGTGTGAAGGATATCGTGCAGTGTTAACAGTGACTTTTGTGTGTCTGTCCTACAGAGGAGTCCCTTCAGTACCAGCTGAACTTCACCTCAGCAGCAGGAGCAGCGTCAGAGCTCTATGACATTGTGGTCATGGCCACGCCCCTCCAGGGCAGCGCCACGTCGGGGGTCCAGTTCCAAGGTTTCACACCTCCCTTTGAGCACTTCCCCAGCCACTACCACACCACTGTGGCCACCATCGTCCACGGATACCTCAACACGTCGTTCTTCAACTTCCCCGACCCGCGCCTCTTCCCCTTCGCCAACATTCTGACCACGGAGACGCCCGATCTGTTCTTTAACAGCGTGGCCAGCGTTTGCCCCGTCAACATCTCCACCGGTTTCAGGCGTAAACAGCCCCAGGAGGCCGGGGTTTATAAGATATTTTCACCACAGCCCCTGGACAAGTCACAGCTGAAAACGCTCTTCAGGTCAGTATCTGAAATCCCGCCGAGCGGTTAGGAGGGATGTAACGATGCATCGTGAAGGGGTTAAAAATCGCTACAAATGTGTGACAGTTTACATCGGTTGAAAAGTAAAAAGTCATCATCGATGAAATGTTGAAACGTCTCTTGCTTGGTTCCTTTCGACCCCAGGTCTTACTACTCGGTGCAGACCACAGAGTGGAAGTCTTACCCTCGCTACGGCAGCAGCCAGGATCTGTCTCCACTGGAGCTCCGCCCCAACCTCTACTACCTGAACGGGATCGAGTGGGCGGGCAGTGCCATGGAGATGAGCTCGGTGGCTGCCAAGAACATTGCCCTGCTCGCGTACCACCGCTGGAACCGACAGGCGGACCTGGTGGACCAGAAAGACCTGATGCACAGGATCAAAACTGAGCTATGACCTCGACGCCTGAGAGCCAAGGTATTTGTCAGATCCTTAATCTCTGTGACGGCGTTCGTAGGGGCAGAGGTCAACTGTCTGGATTCAGCCTTTCTGACGTGAACAGTAAAAAAGGCGGCCGTCGTTTTTGATGCAGTGAAAAAAGACCGTTTGAAAGTGTACGTCGATGTGAACTCAATCAGACAAGATGGCGACACTGAGCGAGGGGTCACGGCTGGAGTGACTGGAGTAAAACGCCAAGAAGAAGAGCAGGGCGAAGGCAACAAGCAGGCGACGTTTTGAAGTTTGAAGGAACCAAAGCTAAGCTGTCACGTAGAATTATTGTCTTATTTTGTTTAATCATTGCATTTTTGTCCCGATTATTCAGATTTAGATCAATGACCTATTTTAATAGGAACCAAGCCTGGTGACATATCTCATCTCTCTGCCTTTGTTCTCTCGCCGGTCTGTTGTGATGGTCTCCGGCCAAAAAAATCCCAAATCTCCAGTGACAGTGACTGTGTGTGTAGACATGATGTCACACTGAAGTCTTTGCTGTGTTCAAAGTCGTTCTGTTTGTTTACACGAGGAACAGACAGTGATGATATCTTATCTAACGTCTGATTGGTCAAGATGCTACAGTCTGAATATATTATTATTGTGAAAGAGGTTGATGGTGAAATTTCAGCCACGACGTGTAGTTAAAAGGTCATTCTTTTTTACCTCGTGGTGACTGAGGCGGTCGTGGCGTCAGCTGATGGCGTGTGACTCAAGTTTAAACAAACCTTTTCTGTCAACACGAGACTTATCAGCTTTACAAACATGAAAGTTGTTGGGAAAAAAAAGCTTCTGTGTTTGTGTGTGTGTGTGTGTGTGAATTTTAACACGCTTCTAATGTTTCTTCTTAAGTGTGAAACGAACTCTTCCGCAGCTTTGCTGGTGTGATAGGTATCACCAGAGCTGAGAACCAGAAGAAGTGGTCACATGATGAGAGTCGGCGGTACGGAATTTCATAAGGAAGAAAGTGATCTACTGTTAGCAAGACGCAATATGCTAACAAGTGACTAGTGTAGAATTGTGTGAAATTAATAGAAAAAAAATCGGGTTTATGTTTAATAGTAGTACAGTACTGTATGATGAAGTACTGAAGTATTTATTAGTACATGTTGCTGCCACTTGCTCCGTGCTCAACTTTGTGATTCTGTGTTTGTTTCTGGATGAATTCATGGTTGATGTGACGACGATGTGACGACGACGTGGACGGATTTAAAACAAGCATCTGTTATTTATGTTAAAGTTTGTGAGTGAAACTGTCTGTATCTGGACCTTTAAACCCCCCCCCCCATCTCCCCTTACCACCAGCAGCAGCAGAGGAGGAGGAGGGGGGAGGTGAAGGTGAAGGTGAAGGACAGGGCCAACTACACCACCTACCCTTGACTTCCGGTACTGTCCTTTCATCCGTCTCCAGGACATCAAACAACTGCTCACACTTGGCTTCATGTAAGTCCAAAAACAGAACGGCTGACGGTGTCCGCCGTAATGATCCCACTCAGACCAAATACCTGGGAAAGCTGGGGGTGATGGGGGGGGGTGTGGAGGTCCTAACGCTGCTGTGTGTGTGTGTGTTTTCCCTGTGAAACACACTCAGTGTAAGCGCCTCATATAGACAATCAATCACACATTGGAGAAAAACAAACACTCATCAAACTGGTCTGTGATAGTGTTCAAGGACCAGTTTGATTTTTGGACTTATTTCTGACACACGTGTGTGTGTGTGGGAGGGGGGGGTGCTGGTTTCTTCCAAAGACTTCTGCTGCACGCGGCTCCTTTTCGCCAAGAATTGAAGGAACGAGGAAGCAGGTTCCGCTCGGCGGCTGATGCTCATTTGAGGAAAGAAGTGACTGCAAAACGATTGGACTGTTTGTTTGTGTAACCGGTGGTCTTCATAAATACATGAACCTGATGTATGAGACAAGGAAAACAGAGCGACTCTCGTGGGACCGAAGACTCATCCTGAGCATGAGTCACTTGTTTCTAAATGACTTCTTTTTTTTTTATCTCTGTAGCATCAGTGAGGCATCAGTGACATCCAATGCATTTCGATGGACTCTGAAAAGATCAGTAATATCATCTTGGTATGGTTAGTGAAATCATGACTCTGCTGGGTGCTTCACTGATGAACCCCCCCTCCCACCCCCCCCCCCCCCCCTCCCCCCCCCCCCCCCCTCCCCCCCCCCCCCTGGTATTTCCCTCCTTTCCTCCAGACTCCTACATTGACTCTTCCCGTTCTTCCTGCTGCTTTTGTTGCATAATCCTGTAAAAAACTGTTTGTCTGAACCATGGAAATGAGCCAACAAGATTTTGCACATGACAGAATAAAAGCAGAGAACAGGTTTGTGAAGCTACTGGCGGCGGCAGTGAAGACCTTGTTCTCTGATCTATTAAAATCCAAGGCCAGGTTGAGACTTGAGATGAGAACTAAAAGAAAAAGTGACATTACAGAAATAAGCGGTGACAACACAGGATTTACTGGCATAAGAGAGCATGTGGTTGTTTATCCGAGCCAGAAATAACATTTTTATTGGCTTAATTCATACTACGGAATTTGTAACTGCTCCACCATCTGCTCCGCTTTACTCTGAAACATATGCTTGATGGAAATGAATTTGGTAAATATGTAGGAGAAAAACAAAAACAAAAAGCGCTTGTAACCCTTTAACTTGTTACAGTTGTTTCACACACTTCCTATTTTAGTGGATCAAAGAAAAAGTAGCGTATGTTGCTAATAACTACGAGCTAAATAAGCTCAGAGTGTTGACCGTGGCTGTCTTCTTTTAAGGGATCCACTGATGTGTGTTGTGTGTTATCAGCCTCTGTTACATGTGGTCGAAGTCAGGGAGGTGTCTCACTTTCTTTTTCCAGCTAAGTTGGGGGAGGGAGCTGCCCAGAAACTGCTCCCACCTTCTGCAGAATTCCTCTTGGCCGCAGCTCAGTGCAGACTTCTACTTTTAATGAACAGTTTACGGGAAATGTACTGATTTCTTATCCTTTCTCAGACGGTGGAACGTAACTGGGCAGCATGTGTTCCCATCAACTGCCCCCGCGCTCCTGCGTTCCTTGCCTTGTTGATAAACAACCTCTGCATGTATGTGGGGCAATAATGTCAACCAAAATTAGAAATAAATAGCCGCCTCCTGACTTAAGTGAAAGAAGTGTGGAATTAAACACAAATTTAAGACTCAGAATGTTGTGAGAGATTTCCTTTGATCTTTCAACAAATCTTTGTAACGATTTCCATACCTTTTAAGAAACTAGAACATATATATGTATATATCTATGTGCATATATATATATTATATATTTGATCTTTCAACAAATCTTTGTAACGATTGCCATACCTTTTAAGAATCTAGAACATATATGTATGTGTATATATATATATATATATATTATATTTAAAGTATTGTAGAATCTGCTGATACAAAATGAAAAGTTAAACAAATACCCAGTGACAAATGTGTCAAAGACTCTAATAATAACTCTGGCCTTGTAGATAAATAAATAAATAATAATAAAAAACACTTCCATGTATTGTTTAAACTTCTGAAGATAGATTTTTTTAAATGACCTTAAAATGAATAAACTGTCAACCAGGCTCCACACCCAAAACTATTTCATAAGATAAGGAGTCCTTCACAGTGGGGGAACTCCTATTGTTAACACCAGTACAGTACAGACTATAATACAGAAACTATAACATAGTGTTACAGTGATAACAGTTTACCGTTACCATAACCGTTACTAGTGTTACAGTGATAACAGTTTACCGTCTCTTACATTTATACTGTTGAGTTGGCAGATAAAAGTTACTTCGAAATATTGTAGGTCTTGGGGATTCAAGAGGGATTCGTGATAGTAAATTTTAAATGAAAAATGAAAAAAAAATGTGTGGGTTACTGAAATAATAAATATAATAATAAATAGCCTTAATGATTTTTTAAAATAAGATTATTAATTCATTAATTTCTGTAAAAAATAACATATGTATCCATTTTAAATTCTTCAAAATGGCATATAATCCTAAATATACAAACATTTCATATACTCTACTATAATACAACAATTGTATGCTGTAACATTGAGCGCTTTCATCTAGCCTCGCTTCCCATTGGCCCGGCGCTCTACCACGTGGTGAGGCAGTCACGCGCCTTCCAGGAACCCGTCAGGAAGAAGAAAAACAAAACAAACCCGAGAGAAGAGCGGAGCTGCTGCAGCGTGTGAACGGACTCCATTGAAAAAAAGTGGGCCTTATTACCTTTAACACGGGAACAAACGTGAGGTGCAACGACAAGAGAGACGCGTGTTCGGAGCGTCTTTACTGTGAGTGGCTTTAATTCTTCTTTCTTCGGGGCTGAAAAGCTTCTCAGTGTTTTTCCATTGGTGAGGGGATTAGCCTGGGAGCTAACGAACGGCAGCTCGGTCAGTTGTTGTTGTGTATCGGGCTTCGGCTGGGATGAGGAAGGGGGCGGACGGACGGAGGCCATACTGACTTGACTGAGAGCTGCAGTTGAGAGTGTAGGGTAGAATCCAGCCCGTCAGTTCCGCATTTGTAACCAACAGAAGGTAAAGTTAAAGGTTGTCACAGTGTGTCTACAGCCCTTCTTGCTGCTGCTGCTGCGGCCAAAAGGAGTGTGTAGTTGCACGAATGACAGCTACCAGCTCACCTGCGGCTAACAGCTTCGGTGTCCGTGACATAAATTAACGACGTTAATTCGAGCCAATGAAGCTAATATTTAAATTAGCTTCTCGAATAAAAGACGTTACCGTGGCACTCATGTAATACAACGGTCAGGTAGTGGAGTTTTCAACATCCCGAGAAATATTTGCATTTGATTTAAAAACGCATTTACGTTGTTAATTATTGTATAATTTAATCAAAAATGTCATTTTGAGAGTCTTTTGGACTTCATATCAGCGCAAACGATGACTTTCTTGCCAATAGAGCAGCTTCAGCTCTCGGCAGGTACACGCCCCCCAACACCAGACACACTGAAAACACTCGACATAGCCAGAACTTTCTATGCGATTTACGCGAAAAAATACACTCCATCCCGGTTAGCATTAACGCACAAATGACCCTTTAAACAGGACGTTCTCAGAATATAGAGATTACATTATATTTCTGCCTATTAATAACCACTGGAATAGTTTCCTCCTGACTGACTTGATTACATAAACGTCATTGTTCTGTTGTCCGGCACAGTAACGATTGTCGTTAGTCAAATGTTTTCAAAAAATAAATTGTTTGATTCGTGGAGGAAGTTGAATTGCAGATCTGACTTTAAATATCTTTAAATACAGCTATGTAGGCCACGGGCATGTAGGCCTCCAACTTGTTTATCTTCCGCCTCAACCAGACTTGTTTGTTATAAAGCAAGTCTGGTGATTGACGGCCCGTGGGGCCACTCAGACACGGCGGGAGGCGGGATCACTTGTACGGCGGACCAATTAGGACGCGAGATTTCGTGGGCGTCGGCACTGTGCGTTAGATTGAGGTTTGTTATGCTCTGTTAAGGAGCCGTGCTGAGTGCAAAGACTGAGGAGAGGTATTGGTCACATTTAAGTCTCAACGGTGTCAAATGTTGGAATGTTAGTGTATTCTTCAGGCTTGTGAAGGTGAATAATGTCCACCAGTTTGTCTGCGTGTTGATGTGAATGCTTGTGCTTTAAAACGTAACATTTTTCACCATCACAGACAGGGCTCCATAAATGTAAACATTTATTGCTTTTTGCTAAATGCACCCATGTTTTAGAGCCAAGAGCATCAGTGCTATTTGGAAATTATAGTTTGACCTCTGTGTAATCTCTAATAAATAAGCAAATTGGGTTTGTTTTGTTTTGGGAAATATTAGTACAGTTCCCCAGGAGAGGTAGGGTGTTGTGTGAAGGACACACTGGGAGGACATCAAGATATTTTCAGTTACGTTTGTAAGAACAGGGACTATTTTAATGACGTGGCGAAAGGAAGCAAAGTTGAAATTGTTCAAATTGTCTTTGGGACCAGGGACCAGACTGAACTAGGAGATTGAAAACGTGATTTGGTTTTGACACATGCACAAGATAAATAAGTAATCAGCAGGTTTATCTTCATGCAGGTCTGGAGTGTTTCTGCTGCAAACTTTTCTTTTCTTTGTTTTAAATCTTCTCTATTCAGCGTATTGTTTGCCTGTGGCGTTGTGGTTGTTTATGGTGAACTGTACTTTGTTGCGCTTTCATCAGCAAACACTTCTGGTACTGGGATTAATGAAGCTTGTTTTTGGTGAGATATTTGTTTGGCAAGAACATCTCACTGTTCTGCTGAAGAGCTTTGTTTTTTTTAATCTATCTGATGATGCTTTTCTGTACGAAATCGTTTTCCTTTGCCCTAATGAATCTCTTTAAATTGTTTTGTGTAGACTCTCAGGTTGAAAGTGAAAAGTGAAAGTGAAGTGGCTGTTTGTTTCCAAATACAGTAGACAGTAGACTGCTTCTGATGAAAGCTTTGTTTCCATGTCCAAATTGTAATCCATCTGACAGTGCCACTAATATTGAGTAATATTTTTCAAAAGTAGGATTAAAAAAAACATCAGCACATACCAGCTTTGATGTTGACATGAAAAAATAACTTCAAATACGTTGAACTGGACTCTGTGGATTGTTTATGTCTATTAACTATTAACTGCTGCCCTGCAGTAACTCTTCTGACCAGTAGGTGCATAGTTGTGTTACTTAGGGACAGTACGTTGACCAAACACTGAAATTCGACAGAATCTAAACAAAGAATTTGTGCAGTGAAAGAGTGAATAAAGTTTTGCGTTTTTTGTTCATCTATGTTTTTTTTAGTTACCGTACAAACCGGTGGTTGTACACGTAATTGGGCTCACCGCAAACAGCAGTGAATTTGCTGCCATCAGAGCTGTTTGTGATGCAGTGCTCTGCTGCAAGGGCTGCTGAGAACAATGGAAAGAATTTGCACTCTTGGTCTCTCTAACCATGACCCATTAGCTGTGGTGCGCTCATTCTGCACAATCTGTTATCATCTCTTTAATTAATTTATTCTGTCCAGTCATGCTGTGCCCTAGTGACGGGTTATGGTTATTAGTACTGATATCTTTTTGGAAAATATCTTAAAAAAAATCACGAACATAAAACTGAGCTGTGATAGCATATCTGTCCTGTGTGTGTGGCGTATCCACAGTGTGTACATACACTTGTGATTTGTTGATAGATGAGCTTTCAATGTGTTTGCAGAGATTCTCCTCTTTTTCAGTGAGCCGACAGGCGTCTCCTGCTCATTATCTCTGCAGGGATCAGGAACCCACTGGTATCAGCGGGTAATTCATTCCAAATAAGACAACTCTGATTGGCCTACTTGGATCTGGTCCAGTTTTGTAAAGCAGTGAATGTGAGCTGTTTGCCTTATAAGCTAGCTGTGAGCTGGAGCGGAGTCACGAGTGTGACTGTGTTTATGTTTTGACCAGAAATAACTGTGGAGGACAGACGACAACAACTGAAAAAAGTGTTTATGTCTTCGATCATGCAGAGATTCAGTTCAACCTAATCTGCTTGTTTTTTTTTTTTAAAGCAGACTTTGAAATTTGACTTTTAATTGTTAATTTAACAAAAATTCATACAGTGCTGTAGAATATCAATAGGGTATTGTGAAACAAAATATCACGATGTTGAATGTATTGATATTTTCTTTCACACCGACCTGTAATTGGTCCTGGTTTCCCAGCAGTCCTGACTTGATAGCAATAAAATCCACCACAGTGTCAGAACTCTAATAAATCCTTTATAATATTCTTCAAGGTTCTAATACAACCAGCTGTTGTTTGTTCTGATGCAGACACTGGAGCTGTTGTATGAACCTGTTAGGCTGAATGTGTGAATCTGTCAATACACAGGAAGCCCTACTTTTGCGAGTGGCTTCACGTCACATGTCAAATTTACCTATCAGTTGATGGATTAAAAAAAAACACAAAACATTTTTTTTTCCAACTTGTGGCGGAAGACTTATCATGTGCTCAACGTGCGAGCTGCTGCAGCGGAGAACGATGCGCCCACTGTGCGTCATGACAGCCTATTAAAATCACTAAATCAATTCACCGAGTGTGAGGGGAGGGTTTTATTACCTGGGGTGGGAAAATGAGGAACCTCTAGAAGGGTTTTATCTCCTGTCGACCTGAGATGTAAACCTGACGCCACATCCTTCATTCATTTATCTTTCTGTGGATATGATTGATGCTCCTTTTTTTTAACTTCTTTTCTTATTAACTCAGTGGATGGAGCCCACCTTCAGCCCACTGTTTGAAGTGTTGGGACTCAGACGGCACTTAAACCCACAACAGTTGAACGAGGAGTTCTAATTTCTGCAGTTCTCATCTCCAAACCACCCTGGGAAAGAAATTCAGCTTGAACCTTTTGGGGCCTGTCATGCTCAGCCATAAATATCCGGTTCTACATCACAGCCTGTCTCTACTGAGCAGACTCAGCTCCCAGAAAAAACATTGAGTGCAGCGTTTTGACTGGAGCTGAATTATCCCGTGACTCGGGGTCCTGCGGATTTGTGAGTCCCCTGCTTGTGAATGAATTCCTGTTCCTGTGCATTAGGCCTGGTAGCAGAATTTTCCCAGATTGATGCTGCACTTATTGTTGTCTTCAGAACGTATGTTGTCACACACTGTTGCCGCCGCCGCCGCCTGTGAGGCCAGACACAGCTGCCGGGGACGGAAGTAAACACCGAGACGACGATCGCACCTTTGTGTTTCTGTGAGGTCGAGCGTCTAAATTTATCGTGGCTCATGTGTGTACTTGAATATTCATCTACCTTAACTTGTGCACCTGCATCTGTTGGGATGTTTGTACTGTAGAGGTGTTGCATCTTTCTCGAATGTTGTGCTCCACCACTTCCTGTCTCTGTGCAAAATGAACAGGTACACAAGGACTGATCTTAGGGCTGAGGAGTTCACCCCCAGCTCAGTCGGTCAGCACCCCGAGAGGGGAAGTGATGTTGTCTGGCCCCATGGGGCAGTGGGGCGAGGGTGGGAGGGGCAGTGAAACTGGAGTGTATTTCAGCGTTCTGCCTGGGTCACCATGTCCCTGTGCAACACATTTGTTTGCTATGCAAATGTGCAAATGGTTGGTGTTGTGTTTTGGTGTAGAAATGAAGGGCAGAAAATTGGAGACATCGACACTGAGAAAATGGTAAAAGACGAAGTCAGAGTCAGAGCTGATCTCCTTCTGGAGGAGAAGTGATCAACCCAGGTGATTATGTGTCACGGACGGGCACAACGTGGCTTCACACGTCTGAAGGTTTTTAACATTTTGGAGGTTGAAAACACACGGACGTGGCTTCGTTGTGTTAGAGAACTTTTAAATGACTGATTGAAGTTGTTGTGTTTAAACGAGGGCAGTTGAATTTCGCATAATAAACACTTTAACTGGTTTGTGAAACTAATCAGATTAAAATAACATCACATTTCAGTTCATTTTTGAAACGTTTTTTTAAACAGGACATGGAGGTGGTTGATGTGAAATGTAGAAAAGGCAGGAAACGAGAGTGAGATGGAGGCAGATGATCTGTTGTGGCCAAATCACTAATGACTAATCGTGATTAATTGTAACCCTATCCACAGCTAACCTGTGGTTAATTATATTACAGCTGTAATCGTTTGACAGCCCTCGGTTCAGTCGGTGGACGATCTCTCCGTTTGGCTGAACACGCAGTGTCGCGATCATCCTGTGTTAGCTCCACTAGCAGTGGTTAGCTTAAATGCTAGTGGATCTGCTGGGAGACCATCTGAAACCTTGAAACCTCCGTCTCATCTTGAATTATCATTATAATAATCCGTTGGTCAACAGTGAATCATTAGCATGTCGTCTGCTACCGTTGTGTCGGTCTCTGTGCTCACGAGGACTCTGTTCCTTCTTCAGTTTGGAACAGACACTTGACCCACTTATGAGTAAAACAGCACTTACTGCCAAAATAACAATCACAGCTACTGAGTGTGTGTGTGTGTGTGTTTATGTGTTTGTGTGTTTTAAGCTGACAGGCCTTTTTCTACCATCTGTATTGATGTGAATGTTGTCGTGTTGATGTTGCTGATGTCAATGAAATAAAATCATGTTTAAGAGAAAATACTGAACTCACACAAAACATTTGAAAAAAAAAAGTGAGCTTTTTTTTATATAAATATTTTCACAATGACAGTCAGTGGTAGACCGGAGGCAGGAGTGGAGGGGGCGGGGGGCAGTGGGTGGACGGGGGTTTTGATGTATTACCATGACTGGCTACTGTGGCAGTTTGGCAACCGTGTGGCGCTGCAGTGTCACATTGTTTTTCGGACCACATCCATTTATGCTGATGACTCGTTTGGGGTTTTGTTTTCCCAGGAACTTTGGTGAAGTCAGAAATTGAACCTGTGGCTTCTTAAAGCTGCCGGTCTGACCGAGGTGGAAACCAGATGTTGTTGAGGAGTAAAACAAGTCCAAGAGTAGTAATCCAGATAATAATCTAGGTTGAAGTTAGAGCACACGACTTAGACGTTGTTCTGTTTAGTTTTTGACTTTTTCTTAAGGACATGAAAGAGTCAAGTATATATCAAATAATTAATTAATTTTAATGGTAAATTGAATTGTCTTTGATAACATTTTGCTGGTGATTTGACGTTTGAAGGCATGACATTTAGCCCCTGGTGGATCAGCTTTTCTTTTTTTTTTGGAAACTGTCCGTCGTCGTTCCCTTTCTGTGCTTTTACTTTGGTAAAAACTGACAAAACAAACTTTGTCACAATGTGTCCACGTGACATGTTGCTGACGTCTTGTCTCTTCCGTATAATGTTATTTTAATGCATCTGCTCTGTTGTCTCTCTCTCTCACTCTCCCTCTCTCTCTCTCTCTCTCTCTCTCCCTCTGTGTTTTCACCACAGACCTACAGCTCACAGAGAACCACAGCAGATCAGACCAGACCAGACCAGGTTGAGCCCAGATATTGACTCCTTCTCCCCCCCCCCCGTACCCCCCCCCTCTCCGCCCCAGCCTTGCGGGCGAGCACAGCGATTGTCTCCCTCATCATTTGAATTAGAAGTGTTCTGATCAGACTGCCTCACTCCACTGGGACTGGACAGGAGACCCGCAGGTCCCCCCACCCCCGCTGGAGCGCTAAGCTGTGCCTGGCAATGCCTCAGGTAAGACAGGCGGGATTGAACCGTGGACGGCAGGTGAAAACTTGATGAATCATCTGAAATGTTAGAGGCTGGGCTTACACACACACACACACACACACACACCTTGTTATGTTGTAGTGTAGCTCTGGCCTCAGATGAGACCCCCGTCCCACCGTCTGGGACACAAAATGAGATTTGTTTTCGGATTAACGTCTGACTTGACTTGCTTTCTTAGTCATTGTACTTTTTCCCTCTTGCTGGTTTCCGTCACCGTTGGGCACCGACGCAGCCCAGCGTCAGTGGGATGGAGCCTCCCTTTGGGGACGCCTTTCAGAACTACTCCTTTGCTGATCAGGCCCTGACCAGCACCGAGCTCCTGGCCACGAGCTCTGACCCGGACTTTATGTATGAACTGGTGAGTAGCTGCACACACACACACACACACACACACACACACACATGCATGCATGCACCACAGGATCTGAGGTTTGAGCTAAGTTCCACTTCCTGTTTGCACCATCAGATATCAGACTTACTTTCTGAGCCTCAGTGTCACTGTCATGTCAGACGGCCCGGCTGACGTCTCCAGTCGCTGCAGCCGTTTCATGTTGGACTGCGGCCCTGTCCAGATGAACTGAATACCATCTTGATTAGCCGTTTCTGTCGCTGATTAGATAAAACCTCGACACGTCGAACTGAAACTCTGTCACACTTGTGCGATCGTTGTCTTGCTGAATTGTAAAGCCTTGAATGTGGTTTTCTGTGATCTGCCACAACAGAGCTGCAAAAGGTAAACAACAGGGGGGGCTGTTGTCAAGGGTCTGGCGATACGACACGTGTCACGATACGCAGGACGATGTATTGAGTTTTTTTTTGTTTGTTTTTCGTGGAGGAGGTGAGGGTGAGGGTGAGACAGCTTCACACAGACACCCCACCTGTCACGCGCTCACTCTGTCAGCTGCAGGTGTCCACCTCCACTTCCTGCCCGCTCCAGACTAAACAGCAGTGATTCACGGCCCAGTTCTCATGTTCCAGCACCATAGTAACACATTAATATGTAGGATGTCGTCATGGCTCCAGTGCGGACGCTGCAGCCGTTTCATGTTGGACTGCGGCCCTGTCCAGATGAACTGAATACCATCTTGATTAGCCGTTTCTGTCGCTGATTAGATAAAACCTCGACACGTCGAACTGAAACTCTGTCACACTTGTGCGATCGTTGTCTTGCTGAATTGTAAAGCCTTGAATGTGGTTTTCTGTGATCTGCCACAACAGAGCTGCAAAAGGTAAACAACAGGGGGGGCTGTTGTCAAGGGTCTGGCGATACGACACGTGTCACGATACGCAGGACAATGTATTGAGTTTTTTTTTTGTTTGTTTTTCGTGGAGGAGGTGAGGGTGAGGGTGAGACAGCTTCACACAGACACCCCACCTGTCACGCGCTCACTCTGTCAGCTGCAGGTGTCCACCTCCACTTCCTGCCCGCTCCAGACTAAACAGCAGTGATTCACGGCCCAGTTCTCATGTTCCAGCACCATAGTAACACATTAATATGTAGGATGTCGTCATGGCTCCAGTGCGGACAGATATAGGCCAGAGTCTAGTGGCTCCTGGAGAGCCTGGCCGTCCACGTGAACTGAAACAGGACTGTGAGGTTATCCAATCAAACACTTCATTATCTCCAACGGCCTCAGAGTTATTCTACACATACTGTATTTTATTATTATTATTATTTTTTACAGTAATACAGTTTTAACCCTTTAAAGAGACAGGAATTCACCGACAAAATAAATGATGTAAAATCATTGAAATTTAGGTTTGAAAAATTTAAAAAACGCTTTTATGGAAAAACACTGCAAATTTTATTAGTGAATGATTATTTTTGTCAACCTTGTTACTGATGTTTGGAGTTCTTGGAGAGCAGGCTGCCACACGGGACACTGAGTCACAATCTGTGGGACTCGAGCCCAGCACCTTCTGCATGAAATGCAGATGTGTAAGGCAGACGCAAAAACCGCTTCATCACGGACCCACTTAAACAAATGACTAAATAAATAGGTCATGATGTTAGATTGGAATGAATTTGTATATAAAAAAACTACAGTTACTCCACTTAAATTTAATGTTTTTTTTTCTCTTTAATTCTCAGGACAGAGAGATGAGCCACCAGCAGAGTCCCTGTGGAGACAGTATGGTTGGAGCAGGGGATGGAGGAAAAGAGGTGGAGGGCGGTGTGGACCAGTTCATGGGTTTGGGAGAGACTGAGACGGTGGGCAGCAACTCAGCATTTGAACAGTGGGACACGTACTGGGAAGACCTGACCAGGTACATACGTCAAAGCTGTGCTTCATTAGTCAGATCAGTGTGTGATTTTAACATTTGACACGATGTGATACAAGTCAGTGTTTTGTCTGTGATACACAGATACACACGGCTGGCCAGCTGTGACATCTGGGGAACCAAAGAGGTGGACTTCCTGGGACTGGACGACTTTTCCAGTCCCTACCAGGATGAGGAAGTGATCAGTCGGACCCCGACGCTAGCGCAGCTCAACAGTGAAGACTCGCAGCCCGTTTGTGAAACCCTTAACCCCCTTGCTGAGTTGACTCTGCCCCCCCCACAGCCTCAGACTCAACTCTCCCAGTTACCTTGTCACAGTAAGAGGTCCGTGGTCCCAGGATCGGGACCCGGCTCCGCCCGAGCCTCCTCCAGCTTCACGGCATCATCTCGTCCCTCGCGTAATCTTCTTCCGGATTTCCCTGAAGATGCCCAAAAGGCCACCAGACCCGTCCCCTCCAGCACTGAGACCATGGCTAAGGCCCAGAACCACAGTCAGGTCCAAATCAAGATCGCAGGACGCGGAACCAAAACGGCACTCCTGACGTCTCACGGCCCGGACTTTGTGCGTAAAGCTAAGGTTCGCGTGACTCCTGTGCAGAAACCTCTGCCCATTCTGCCTCCCCAGCCGGATTTCGAACGGCCAGAACCCCCTCTACCCATTTCCCAGCCTCAAGATGAGAAGGCTTCCACTTCAGCAAATTCCACTCTGGTGGATCTCCCCGGTGCTGCACCTGAGGAATTAAGCAACCTGACCAGGTTTGAGAGGGCAGAAGAGACAGCACCGAGAGACATGGCCGCCGGCTGGTCTCCCACTGTACCTCAACTGGTGGAGACGGGTCCGGTGTTGGACGACAGCACCTCCGTGCTGGTCAGTGTCGCCGAAACTGGAGCCGGAGCGAGCGGCGGCGGCGTTCTGGTGGTGGAGGGAGCGGAGAAGACCAAGGAGGAGGAGCACAACTACTCTCTGTTCCTGACCCGCAGCCGTCAGTCCGGCAAAGTCCAACCCCAGCTGGAGGAGGACGAGGAGGAAGAGGACGAGGAGGAGGCAGAGGAGGAGGAGGAAGGAGATGGGCTTGAACTGGACGATGAAGACCACGACGAGGGTTTCGGTAGCGAGCATGAGCTTTCTGAGAATGAAGAGGAGGAAGAGGAGGACGATGACTACGAAGCAGACAAGGACGATGACATGAGCGATGCCTTCTCTGAACCAGGTAGGAACCATCTGTGATCACATGGTCGCGTGCCGTCCTCTCTGAGTTTGAGTTGAGAGTTTCACCTCTTTGGTCTTTGTGTTCTGCTGCCGCACCAGGCTGTGAAATGGAGCTGATGGACGACATCAAGGGTCTGACAGCAGGGGTC